TATATGCACTTTCTTTAAAAGAAGTTAAGAAAGAGGAACAAATTTTCTTGGGACAAGATTGAGACTGATTTGAAAGTGGGGAAAAAAGAAGCTACAGCAGATATATAAAGGAAATTGGTTGAGGTCTTAATAACTGAAAGGGATCTACCAATAACAAACCAACAGTATTACTTGGATAATCTTCCTATATTAGATTTACAAAAGAATCTTGTAAAGCTTTGAAAAATTTTAGGACATTTGAAGAGACTAATTGTTGAAAGTAAAAGAAAGGAATATAAAGATGGTCTATTTATCATGGTTAAGTAGACAAGTTGTTTCTCTTGCAACCGTTAATGGACTTTTGATGATCAGGACTGAAATGATGAGGTTTTTTTAAGGATTTGTCATTGATAAAAGATGGATATGGGAAGAAGAGATCATTTGTTGTATTTTAGGAGGTATGTTATTAAAATTGCTTATACTTGTAATGAAGAGGGAAGTCACGCACACATATACACACACACAGTTTTCTATATTCTTCCTTTTTCTGTACCGATTTTTTTTGTATTAATTTTTATCATTGTAATTGTAATTTTTAATAACATTACTACTAAAAAGAAAATTAACTTGATTCTTTTGAGATCTTAAAGATATACAAATTCTAGCTTTCAGGTTTCGTGAATACTTTGGCCTAGACATGAACTTGACTCATCATTAAAACATACTCTATAATTTGTGTTTTTAAGATACCACAATACTTTTCGTTTAATTGACATACCCTTTGGAAATAATGAAATTTCTGTGAAAGTTAGACTGGAAGTTGAAAAAGTATGCCCAATAGTAGAAATGGCAAGCCACTTCTGAATCACACTGAAGTCAGTTACCAGACATCAAGATTTTATCCAAGGTGACTTATCTGTAAAGCATGTAGATGCTTCAAATTTGCATTACTACTCTTTAAAATACTCATATATTTTTATTTTGTGGTATATATGTGCATAATTTATATTCTAAAATGTTACTTATGGCTGAGACTGTGCCCTAAGGAATTTGCAAATATTTCTGGTTTATTTAAGGATTGGGGTACAAAACTTAATTTCATATCAATGCCTCCACTATTGCACCTTACTGAGTTAAAATTCTTCCTAGTAAAACTTCCTTTAAAAAAAAAAAAACAAGAATGTTGAATTTTTCTTTTTTTTAAAAAGACCTTTTGGTAGTCTTGCTGTTAGTCCTGAATTGCAGATTTAAAGCAGTCTTTGAGAAAAGCATGAAAAAAATAAAACAGAAATAAACGTCTTAAAGAAGGTCAATGTATATGTGACTTAATAATTAACATCATACGCACACTAAAATAGCAAATTCAGACAGACAGGATTATTTGTTCTCTTAAAATGAGCAGCCTTATATCAAATCAAGCTGTATATGTAATAGAATAAATTATTCATCAAGTACATTGTGCCAAGAGATGAACGTAAGAAATTACTTGCTCTATGTCTTATGTACAGTTTACTATAAAACTATCTTTTATTGACTATGGACACTTATAGCACAATTTTATCTAACTTCTACAGAAAAACATATGCAAAGAAGCTGAAATTATTGTATACAGAAATTATATTTATGATTTTTAATTATGAATGTGCAGATTTGGTCTTATGTTTATAAACATAATAATCTAAAATCTACTCACTCTCTTTCACCACTACCCCTTACTTATTTTTCTAAAATAGTTAGAATTGCCCCCACTAGCTCAGCTCCAGTATTTGTTGGGACTACAAAAACATTTAATATACTTACTTTTGCAGCTTCATTGTTGCACTGTGCATAAACAGAAACAACACAGTAGCTATTGCTCAGATCCTAAAATACACTCTAAAAATTTATTTTTCCATATGTAAGCGTGAACCTTCTCTTGCGTTCAATTCAAAAAGGTGTCACTGTTCGAAAGTAAAAACATGATCTACTCTATTAAGTGAACTAGTTGTGTTTGAATTCTTCTGATATTGAGTATAAGGAAGCTGCTGCTTGAATGTTAACTACTCATACACTATTTTTCTTTCATGCTCTGGTCAAACATATTTGTCTTCATGAACTCTCAGCCATCTAGATAATTATTGACAACTACCAACCACTGCAATTAGTGCTATTACTGGTGAACAATAAAAAGTACCATTTCATGTATTTATACATGAGAATGTATTTTAAGATGAGACAACATGCATAAGTAGTGACTTATGATACCCAAACTGGCCTTCAATGTATGGATAAAATACTGTAATAATCATCCTACCAGTTTTGTCAACATATGACAAAATACTGAATCAATCATCTTACCAGACTACTATAGCAAGACTTCCAAAATCCAGTGACTTCAGTTCGACATTTTAAGCACATCTGATTTTGGAATGAATTTTAGTCACTAGATATTATACACCCAGGAAGGTCAATTGTGACTATGTTTATTGATTTGTTACCATCGTAGGCAACATTTTTTTTAGGTGTGCAGCTAATTATGTAAACTGGTGAAATGACTTTTTTGAGCACTCTTACCCTTATATAGTCAATTCCATAGGCATATACTTCAGGTGATCATCTTGGATTACTTACTTACAGACCATCAAAATTGCCGTGCAATTGGCATTTACTGGGTAGGTTACAGCGTGAAAAGACAATGAAACAGCAAAACAGTATTTTCCACATGGTCACTTCCCTTTCTGCCTCTCACTATTTCAAAGGACAGCATAACTGTAACTGTGAAAAGAGTTTTGTAGGGATTTTCCTGAAGTATCATAACGGATTAGCTTTCTGAATAAGCTATAACACCGTATTGTTGAAAGACTGAATGACTCAGGAAATTCTGAATTCACCTGTTTCAAAAAGCTCACCCAAGGAATACAAATTTACATGCACCTTGATTGGAATGTACTCTTTGAACTTCAGTTGTGGTTAGGCACATTCTTTGGTGGTTAAGGTCCACCCAGCAGCAAATGATTGAATTATTATGTGCTTTAGAGTTGTCGTCTTTGAGGAATCTGAACATTCTAGCCAGCTTCAACTGAAATAGTTGAATTGTCTGACGTACACGAAATCTATTGTGATTTTCATATCATGCTCCATGGATCATGCTTAGGATCGCACAACATACTGATATTAAGTGACTACATTATGGCTTTACATGATTCTGCAGCATTTTCATTGGCTTCCAATTAATTTGCAGTGTTAATTCATAGAATTGATTGATTTTTACACTTAGATTATGATTTTTGAAGGTTCTTCTTTGCCTGCATAAATCACTGACCCACCAGAATTGACTTCAAGATCTGATTATTATAGGTGCTGCTGTGAAGATGACAATATTTTACTTACAAGTAGAATTTTTTATACAGCTGGGGAAAAGCTGAGTGTTTTTTTAGTATTTTAGTGCTAGAGTCGTTTATTAAAAAAACCCTTCTTTTAGCACATTTTCCAATTGTTTCCCTACATCTCATGGAATGATCTGTCCCTATCAATTTAAACTGATGTATACAGGTAGTGTTTGACTTACAACCACAATGGAGGCCAAAATTTCTATTGCTAAGCAAAACAGTTAAGTGAGTTTTGCCCCATCTTATGACCTTTCTTGCCACAGTTGTTAAGCCAATCCCTGCAGTTGTCAAATTAGGAATATGGTTGTTAAGTGAATCTGGCTTCCCCATCGACTCTGTTTGTCAGGAGGTCACAAAGGTGATTAGGTGACCCAGGCATACTGCAACTGCAGTATGAGTCAGTTGCCAAGTGCCTGAATTTTGATCCCCTGACCATGGGGATGATGCAATGTCACTTTTTTCAGTGCCGTTGTAACTTTGAATGGTCGCTAAATGAAGTGTTGTAAGTCGAGGACTACCCGTATGAAATTATATGTGAAATAGTGAAATAATTCTTATACGTAAATGTTTAATCCTTTCCCATAAATATGTGATATATCTATGTACACTACTGGTTTCCAGAAGAAGGGACAGGAATGTAGACGGTCATCTGATGAACAAACCTGCTGCTTCAATTACTGCTGCAAAGGCCCATTTCCATTAATTTGGCAGAACATTTTTCCACAAGCATTCTGATCACACAAATCTATGATAAAGTAAGTTAATACTTTTGGGAATAATACGTTGCTATGTATGTATAATGATCTGAATAGGGAGGCATAACCAACAATTGGCAAATATTTAATACATTTTGAGCAATTAAAATTTAGTAATCTATATACAATATAAAACCGTATTATTTCTTTCCTTCTGTACAGTCAAGAGCTGTATTTCCTGTTCTATGCAGAACTGCTTCCCAAAATCAATACTTTTCCGATTTTTTTCATCAACTATGTCTTTGTTCAATGAAACTTTTTATTGGTCAACTTTTTAAGGGGAAAAAAATCCATAAATTCCTTTTGTTCATTTATCTTTCTGACTTCCAATTATATAAATTCTGGAATGAACGGTTTACGATTTAGCACCAGACGCTTCCTCATACCAATGTCAAATACTTTAGATTTTAGTATTTTCAAAGAAATAGAAGTTTTAATAGAGTTGTTTTTGAAAAATGTTAATAGTTTGCCTTGGGTTTTTTTTTTCTTTTTCCTTTCAAGATGCTTTCCCAATATCTGACACCATTTGTTCCCTACTGGCTTTGTAATACTTTTTAAAATGTCAAGATCACCTATTTTCATGCACTCAAAGATCATATGTGGGAATGCTATTGCTCCTGAAGTAATGTGATAATTAAAAATGCTACTTCACAAAATAAGACTGACATTATAAAGCTTATATTGGTGTTTAGAAATGCTCAAAGAACAATATTAAATATGAAAATACTTACTAGCTATCAAATTGTTATCCTAACGCACTAGAGTGAATAAATAAAATATTTCAGACTCAATTTCAGCAACCCCTTTTCAAAACAGCACTCAGTATAGTACTAAAAACTGGTTATTTAACCATTAATAATTAACATTTAGTGTAAAAGTTCAACATGAAAATCTGCAATTAAAGTTTTCACTGTTTAATGATTTCCAATTAACAGTTTTCTCTTTGATACAGCATCATGAAATGAAATATTGGAGCAAAGCAAAAATAAAACTATATTTTTTTCAATTTTAGATTCTTGAATTGCATGCAAAAAGGTAGATACTGTGTACTTTGAATCAAGAATGTTGCATTCAGTAAGAGTCCTCAAGACAGTTTGTAAAATAAACAAGATACATACTGACCACTGTAAAACATAAAATTTCAATGTTGCTCATAACTATAAAAAAAAGCAGCACAAATACAGATTTGGTCAGTCTGGAAGTTGTATAAATATACATATTATTGTAGATTTCTATGCACATGTTGGACATAATCTACCGAGAACTTTTCTTGTGCAGATCACCATAGAAATGATTGTGAGTTTCCAAACACCTCCGCTACTGATGTGGGATGCACAGGAAAAGTTTTCCATAATTGTGCCCAATACCTTCACTTTTCCATGGCTTGACCGCTCCTTGGCAGGTAAATTTTTTTTTAGCCTTGCTGAGAAAATGCAGGTGTACTCTGGATGGCATTTTATTTTCCTTTTCCATTTTTTGAAGATTTCTGAATCTGAAGTTTCAATTCCTTGATCATCTTTTCTAACTTTTGTCTCGCTTCTCGTTCCTGTCTCAGTTCATCTTGGAGCTCTTGTCTATCGGCCTCTGCGTGATCCAGCCTCTGCCTCAGTTCTGCTAACTGCAAGTTTGAAAAGTAAAGACAAGTTAGAACAGCTGGTATATCATACACTTGTTTCTTAATCCTGGTGAGATAGGCAGACATTTCATTCTGTTCCAAAATGGAGCATCTGTCAGTGATCATGCCATAAAAAATAGCAGACTGGAACATAAATATGTGCAAATATATACAAAAAAAAAAATTACACATTTAAAATACTTCCTACATTTTCTCTTTCCACTTTGCTATTGCAACATTTTTAGTGAAAATATTCTTACTTCTTTGACATAGATGTTTCTAAAATGCCAGAAAAACCAAACCACACCCAAATATTTGGAAAGAACGGAAATAGCTTTCTCTGAGTTAGTAAACTGTAAATAATGTAGGAAAAATCAAAATTTCCTACTTTTAAATTTTAATACTTCCAGTGTACATCATAAATGTAGCCCACAACCAAGAGTTTTTTAGCTTGCCACATACTTATGAAATCTGTTTTTCTCTTCTGAATCAGGTAGCAAATAAAGAGTTTATTTAGTCTCACGTGAGTAGTGACTGAGTTAGTATATAAGTTTTTATTTATTTATCAAATTTAGAGATTACCTATCTCACTCTCAGAGCTCTGTAGGGAAGTGAAAGATATATGACATTCTTCTCTACACATTATAGTGTAGGCATGAGAAAAGTAAGGCATATTTTAGTGTTAAATAAGGAAACTGTTTTTAAAGATAAATAAGGCTGCAATCCATAGGCTTGAATGCATGGAGCACCAATGTATTAGCAGCTCTTCAGACACCTGAGGGCAGAACTAGCAAGAGTGTATATTTTTATATTTTATCAGCAATCCAGCATTACATGTAGTGGTGGGTTCCAACTGGTGTTACCACCGGTTCTCTTCGAGCACGCGCTTTGCTTTACATGATTGTGATTTTTAACCATTTTTGTCAATTTCTGGCAAAAAAACTGCCCATTGGGGAAGCTGAATTTGGCTTAATGATCACATGATTATTTTCATGATTGTGGGTATTTGATTTGCTACTGTAAAATCTAACATAAGATTGGGTCATTCACTTTATGACCACAATGACCTACAATAGAAATTTTGGTTCCAACTGTAATCCTAAATTGAGGAGTACTTGTTTCAAAGAAAGATGGCCCAAATGAAACTTAATTTTGCTGCTCACCTGAGCTGCGTATTCTGCTTCTTTGTCCTTTTCCAAGCTGGAATCGCAGGTACATTTTTGTTTTATTACCTGCTCCAGCTTCTTCTCTAAATCTCTTTGTTCAACATAAAACTCTTGCATTCTTTGAGCATGCTCAGTCTGCAAAGATTCAAGTTCTTTTTGTAAATTTTGTTGTTCTTCTGTCAGCTCCTTCATGGCTTTGGAACTACTTAACATTTCAACTTCCTATGAAGAAATGACAATTATATAGAGAGTTTTCAAAACACAAATTGCAAAAAAAAAATGCTTCAAATTTCATAGTTTAAGTTTCTATTTCATTTGAAATAGGACTTGGTATGGATACACATCTTGTGCTTTTTTCTTTCAGAAATGTAACTCACTGCATGTACTCATGTGTGTGTACACTTACTATAGATACTCTATCAATACATGCACACACATATATTACACATACAGACACACACACACACACACACACCAATTAATTTACCAGTACTGTATTTCTACTTCAACATTCTCCATTAACACATTCCCAGATATTTTGGGGGAAAATATTTCAAATAGTTATTTGAGGTAAAAAAAATGTGTGAGATGTTGAGAAATTTTTCCCTCGCAGCTTTAAATTTTATACTATAAAGGATTTTCTCCCATATTCAATTAAAATGCTAATCACGAATGTGCGCTTACAACAATCTGAAATTGCCCTAATTTTATTTCTATTAGCTATCTTCTAGCACCAAAGGGAAGTCTCATGACTTCCTAGATACTCTTTTTCCAGATAGCTAGTGCAAAGTAATTTTCACCATAGGAACCTTAGGGAACATAGTTAACCCCTGCTCATTATCCAGTGGAGAAGTAATAGATGCCAATGTAATGTGAGATGTTATTAAGAATTTCAATCTTCAAAGAGAGTGTGTGTGATTCGTTTCTAAGCAAAGAACTGAATCAAAGGGACATTCCTCTTCAAAGCACTGATGAGAGCAGTCATCCCATTTTTAGCCAGATGTTAAAAGGGGGTTCTCTGCATACACTCCAGAGTGGGAAAGTCCCATCAATGCAAGGAGAATGGCTGAATGGGTCAGTCTATTGCAGCAAAGCATTAAGCGGGAGAACAACTTATTATCAAACTTATGTTTGATAATAGCTGAAGTCCAACTTTCAGGTTAGCATTTTTAGGTGAAAATAAGTCTTTAATACAACTAAATGTTAAATGAAATACAGGGAAGGGTTTGGGTTTTTTTAACCCTGTCATTTTCATAATTATAAACTTTCATCTTAATATGGAATGGATAGAAAAAAAAGGAAGACACTGTTTGGGAGGCAGATAAAATAAAATGAAATTCACATATACCATTTGAAGATGCTGCTTCTTTTGCAAAATTGTATGCAGCCTTTCTTGCTGTTTAATATACGTTTTCATTACTTCTTCCATCATTTTCCCTTTATCATCATCAGATCCAGTACCATTGGAAAGAGCCTGAGATGAGGATTGTGCATCACTACTTATTTCCATTTCATCTTCTGTAGTCTCCCTGGAACTGACCTGTTCTGTTTTCCTTCTGTTTGCAGGTTTAATGGGTATGGGATGATCTACTGAATCAAAAAAATCAGGAAGGCAATGTTTGTTGATTTTCTACAAAAACTATAATTCTATTAATATTATTATGAAATGGTTTCATTTTTTACTCACCGATACTAGCACAAATTCCAGATCTAGGCTTTAAGTCACCCTTCTCTTGTCCTTCAAGAGCGATGTCCTGATAAAAGATGCTTTTTTTGCGTTTGCTACCATTCTGCTGTTTCAGCGACTGCCCGGGAAATGATTTATATACCTCTGATATCTTTTCAACCGTTTTTGTGGTTTCTTTACATTGAGGCATTGAAGTACTAAGAGATACATTGGGAGCAACCACTTTATCACACATGTAAAAGAAATAGCTGGAAACAAAATTGAAAAATATTAGAATTTACATTAATTAAATCATACTGAATCAAGCACAATGTAGCCAACAATGGAAACAAACAAACAAGCAAACAAAAAATTACTCTCTAATCCCTAGCCTGCTACACAGCAGTTGTAGATAATCATTATTTTGTGTCACATAGGAACCATCAAATCAATTACAAAGTAAAAGAAAATATATTGTCATCAGTATACTCAAATATCTATTGGCAAAATGAATGAAATAGTCGATTTTAATTTTCAGGGGTATTTTAACACTCACAATTTTATTAGCTTCCAAATGCATTTTAATGTATTTGTTTTATAACCGTGTAGCCGGCTCAAAGATTCTGGGCAGATCAAAGAGCAGGTGGCATTTTTGGCCAAAAGGGCTTTTGCAGAACTCCATGTCGCTATTAATGGTTTCATTTACATTTCCCAGTTCCATAGGAACATTTCTAACTATTGTTTGTTCAACTGTCTGTATGATTTTAATCCCAATTATATAATTGAGTTGTATACCACTCAGAGCAGGCAGATTGAATCAGACTATAAGCAGCCTATAAATAAATACGTAAAAGCACAGAAAGGTTTTAAAATATATGATACTCAAAACTGTAAAGGCCTAGAGCAGTGATGGCTAACCTTTTCTGGACTGAGTGCCCAAAGCGCGTGCATGTGTGCGAATGCATGCATGTGCGCCTAAACCTCCAAAATGCAATGCATGTGCGGCCCCTGCGCATGCACATGTGTCCCCCTCGCACACACCCCACCCTCCCGCATTTGCGCATGCGGCCCCCCGCAGATGCAAGGCAGAGACCTGAAGACCGGGAGGCGCACATGCATGCGCAGTGGGGCTGAATTGGGATGATGGCTCATGTGCCCTCAGAGACGGCACTGCATGCCACCTCTGGCACACGTGCCATAGGTTCGCCATCACGGGCCAAGAGGAAGAGAAATGTCTTAATCTCTTTCCAAAAAGCTAACAAAGAAGGGCAGGCATCCTAAAGACAGCCTTCTTTCAGACCCTCATCTCCAACTTCCTAAGGAAAGGACATCAGAAGCATGCCTTTCAAAATAAGAAGACAAAGTCTGTCCTGAAGAAGATGGCAACCCAAGTCATAAAGGCTTTCTAGGTCATTACCAATACTCTGAATTATATTGAGAAACCTCCTGTGAGCTGGTGCAGCAGGAGGGGCACTGCACAGATTGTAGGTTACAAACAGTATTCAGAGGGAGCTCCAAGTAGAGCACAGCACATAATCGAAATATTAAGTAATGGGACTCCTCACTTCCACCAGAGCATCCTGTGCCAAAAACAATCATATCTGATGCAGGAGCCAAAGCTAAGCAAGGTCTTCCATCTGTTTTGCTCATACAGGAGCCTAACTGCAAATGAACCTGTAGATCAGACCATCTGCTTCTAACAAAGTGCAATTCCAGGAAAAGCCAATTGTGTAGCTGCTGTGGAGTTAGCATGTTTTTCAGATAAGCAGCCACTGTATCGTTGGATTTAATTTGACCATATTTGTTCCAACCTGACCCTCAAAATCTCCAGCCACCAGGTCAGGATTTTTGCTGCAAGTCCTACTCAACCTTGGATGGCAATGTATGATGATGGCATCATCACCTTACAGACAATATTTTATCTTAAATTGTTAGATGATCTCACTCAGCTGTTTCATATAGATACTAATGAAAACATCTTCCTGGGTTCTGTTACTGAACATGCTGTTGCTGCTTTAATATTTAATGCAAAGTTTCTACTGCTTTCTTAAAAGTAAAACCTCATTCAAAACAAGCAGAACTTCTGGCATTTCGTGAACATGTTGGTGAAATTAGCTGAGGAACAGTTCAAATGACACTTTAACTGCTACATCAGCAATGTCAATCAGCACAGTAGAGTTTGAAACGGTTTCAATAAGTTGCATAGCAATTTAACTCTTCACGTGATTAAAATATAGCTCCATTTGATTCTGACAATGATAAGCCACCGTGCTCTATACTTCTATAGCACTTCTAAAGTAGCCAGCATTTTTTTTAATTCTTAAAACAATCTTGAACTTTGATCTTTGAAGGAGGTCTCAAAAATGAAGCAATTTAGGATTCAATGTATTATGCAGTTAATTTCCAGGAAAAAATGGGAGGTGTTTAGCTCAGATTCGCAGAAATCTATAAATCAGATTAAATGCATAATTTCAAAGACCAGTAGATTAGAGACCTTGAGGATATTGTATATACAAATGGAAGTTCCAGGAGCCACCATATTTTTTATCTGGAATAAAACAATTTGGTACTTCTGGTGCTAATAAAGTAGATGTCCCAGATATTAAGCAGCATCAGAGAATGGGAAACGCTAAAAGTTTTCTAGGTGCCTCCAAGGGAAAGTTTAAGGTTTTGAATGGAACTAGTTCTTAGCGAATATACTGGTAACAGTTATTTCAAAGAATGGAATTAAGAAAAAAAAAATGTCCTGTGCAAAAGTTATATCTATTACATAATGCTTTGCTCTACATTATGTAGATCCAACAATATGTAAAAAGCATATTCTCCATACAAACCCAAAAAGTGTAATTAAATTATATAAAACATCAATTTAACTCAGGTAAACCATGAAATTATTTATTAAATAGCTTATGAAATAATTAAAATATGATTCTCTGATCATTTTTATTAACAGAAGAATGTTACCTGGGATGGATAAATGAATGTGGCTGATCTGTAGAATCTGTTTCTTGCTTTATAACTGGATACCACTGCTGAAATTCTACATTATAATGGGAATCTGCCTAAGGAGGGAAAAATATTTACATTTGTTATATACCATTCTAGCTTTAAAGCAAATAGCAATTGCATTTTTAATCAATTTTGTTACAGAAAAAAAAATCACAAATATAAACAGCATCATTTCCATTTTCCCTATTCAAATACACTGTAAATTAAGCCATAAGCAGCTTTTGTAAAGATTGTAAATGAATGCCATATGTTTCCTTCTCAGTCAAAAGAAATTGTGCAGTATTTTGATAATTTAACATCAATTAATAATTGATCAATAAAATGGTTAATTAATATAAATTTTTATTTAGTATTGCCTATTTAAGAAATGGAATTGTGACTGTCAGGCAATTCACTCAACTCCTGAGATCAACATGAGACAATAAAAGCACACTAGCTGAGCGACCAATCCAATAATAGGTAAAATTGACTGTATATGAAAAGCATTACTTATTGCCTGCTTTTTGTTTTTAATGCATTCAGTTTTTATAGTTTTAATATAGTTTTTTTGTTGTTGCCTTTTTTATAAGATGGGCAGCTGCTTTAAATAAATAAGATAATTAATATATTTAGGATATATTCTAGATTGATTGTTCATTCATTCCTATCTTTTCAAACAGATCTTTTTAAAAATCAGTGTTTTCTTGCAGCCTTGCAAATTGTTTTTATTTTTATGCTTTTAGATAATTGGCTTTTATGCTAAAAGGAAATCATTTACATTTCAAAACTGAAGGAGAGAAAACAGGTTTTTGTAGGACTACCAGAGAAGCCTATCAAACCTGTTAAGAGAAAGCAGATTGTTTCATCTCTTTCTCAAGCCCCTTGTTTATATCATTATACCATTACTTCTGCCACCTAAGGCAACCAGATAAACTTTTGAAGACAGCTCTGTTCTAGTTGATATAGACAAATTGGTTTCATTTCACATTCCTGTTTATCATATTATTGTTATTGTGGTTGGTCACAGTCAGCCAGAAATTTAGACTGAATTTGGCATATCGAATCCTTCCCAGGTACCTGGGATAGGCAAATGTTATTATTATTTTGGTTTCTGGCAGTCAACTAAATGTTCAGGCTGGATTTGGCACTTTTCTCCACTTATCAAATCCTTCCAAGGAACTTGGATAGGCAGATGTGGATGTTTGATGGTGTTAAAGGTATTGTCATAGGATGTAAGCTATTCTGAGCAAAGATACCTTTTGCAATTGACTGACAGTGATTTTGTCAATGTTGATTATGTTAAGTGGTGCACTCAAGGTGCCTATTACTATTGATGCTACCTTTGCTTTCTTTTGTCACAGTTGTCTATTTCTATTTGTAGGTTTTCTTTCTATTTATTATCATCATTATCAAATTTCACTTTGAAACAGCCTGATTAAAAGTAGTAAATAAAATTCAAAATAATAATTAAAAATGAAGCCTAACAATAAAGTTAATTACTATAACTAGACTTTAATTTTATAAGTTCTAATTTAATGAATACTTTTATTTGGGTCCAAAGAAGCTTTTGCACATGAATAAAATGTTCCCATGAATAGAAAGGAGCAAAGAAATATGCCTTCATTTGTTCTGTTACATGCAGAACAGCATGTAACATGCAGAAGAGCAGCAACTTCCCAATTTTTGCAGGCAATTGACTTCTAGTATTTCTAATCTTTCTCCTGACTTTATTTTTTTTTAAAAAATCTTTATTATATAATTTAAAAGAATATATATTTTGAATGGCTCTGATTCTCTCATTCATGCTTTTTCAACAATTCTTCAGAATTAGGACTATTTCATACTCGTAGAAGGGTATCCCTCCCCACATCATAGCCCAGTTAGTTTTTCCTTTTCTGTTCAAAATGTGAAGATTCCCCTGTACTCTGCATTTTAATACTTGTTACTTTGCTGTTCACAAATCAGAAGTGTTAGAAGCACTGCTGAAGCAGCAAAGTGTTTCTGCACTTTCTGTTAATGCATATATAATAGGAACAATTGAAGGTTTTTATTTTTAAAAAAACCTTGGGTATTTTGCATTCTATTTCTAAATCCACTTTAATTTTGGGAGCCAGAGCTACAGTTCTGCAGTTAGACTAAAAGAAGGAATATATGAAACTATTTTGAATTCTTATGACATTTGTTTTTACAAAGGAGACCAAGTAAATTAACTTAAAAAAAGTGTTTGAAATTATGGCAGAAATATATGTCTTTTCTTAGTCCATGAGTGCATGTGTAAGTATGTATACAATGGCTCTAGGCCCAAGGACAGGCAGGTGGTGGGGCCCATGCTCACCCTGCCACTGAGGCCTCAATTCCCTCCACGTAGTCCTCATTTAATGACAGTAATAGGGACCAGAATTTCCCTGGCTAAGCAGTGCAGTTGTAAAGTATAGCATCACATGACTGTATCACATAGTGATAGCAATCCCAGCAGTTTCTGTTGCCAAAAAAAGGGGCTGTGGATCATTAAGTGACTGAGATTTGCAACTTCCTACCAAGTTCTAACAAGCAACGTCAATGGGGAAGCGGCAAGAAGTAGCAAGCCCCTATCACAAACTTTTCCTTAGGTAACTTAAAAGCAGGCCAGACAGCTGACACCTACTATGGAGTGTAAGGAGACGGGATGGACATTGTGGAACGAATGCAGCAGGGAGGTGAGCATTAAATGCGTGCAATGGGTGTGCACAGGTGGGCACTGTGGTGTTAGTGCAGGAGAGGTGCTGCAGTGTGAGCGGGTTCTGCAGTGTGGCCCAAGGACAGGCAGGTGGTGGGACCCACGCTCACCCTGCCACAGAGTGTTCCTCAGGACAAAAAACATCTGCAGAGGCAACTGACAGGAGTGATTTGCAACCCTTCGTGCCAGCTTGCTGCCTGCCTTTCCTGTGAGAGGCTGTAGGGAAGGTTGCAAATGGCAATCACATGTCTGAGGAATGATGAAGTCATCCTAAATGTGAGCCAGTTGCCAAATGCCTGCTACAACTTAGAGGACCCTTGTCATAAATCTTTGTTTAGCACCCTAACTTTGAAGGGCCACAGAATGAATGGTCATTAAGCAAGGACTATCTGTATTTTTAATGTGCACAAGCAATTGGCTTATAATGACCCTAAGAAGGAATTCAGATCAAAACTAGAGATCGTCCCTTTTCCCTAAAAATAATTTTTTAGATCTGTATTATTAAAGCTCCAAAGGGTTCATATGTATTTATTCATACATATACATATACATATACATATACATATACATATACATATACATATACATATACTATATGTATATGTATATATATGTTTTCTTTTCTTTTCGTAGGTCTTTATGTGTATTTCTCTTTAGCCAGGTTCTTCCTACGTAAACCAAGATTTTTATGCAGCCCTAGTTCAGTGAAATCCCAATCCACTAGTTTCTAGGCTTTTTTTCTCCAGCAGCCAGCAAGCTTCCTACTGCCCATTGTCCATAGTCTAGGCAGCTCCCTGTTGCCCAGACTAAGTCCCCTTAGTCTCCCAATGGGCAGCAGGGAGTTTGCTGGCTGCTGGAGAAAAAAAGCCTAGAAACTAGTGGATTGGGATTTCACTGAACTAGGGCTGCATAAAAATCTTGGTTTACGTAGGAAGAACCTGGCTAAAGAGAAATACATACAGACAGACAGACAGACATATATACACACATTCAGCACAATAGCTTGAAAATACACTGCAGATCATATATCAAAACAGATGAGGTCATTTATAAGACTTAGGATGTAAGGCCTTTAATTTATTCAGTATTTTTATTAGTATACATTATTATGAAAGGTAATTACTTTAGACAAATATAGTACTGCAGCTGAATGCAAAACAAGTCAATTGGCTACATCATTAATGAGTAAATAAATCATGTTAAGTTTACAAATGTAATTTCAGCTTCCATAAGCTGAGCTGTATCCTATTTACATAGTTAACCAAATAATCTCTTAAAAACTGATCTGTACTACAAGACTAATTTAAAACATGATATTATTGCCAGTCATCATATCAAGACTGGATTTGCTCCTGTATGTATAGCCTTAAATGAACCCTACTTCTCTCTGTTTCAGTTATTTTATTTTTACTTTACCCTTCCAATGTGTAGGCAAACAAGAAACAAACTAGTTTTTCTTTTCATGGATGAATTTCGTCCTATAATTGGGAAATCTATGCTACTGAAAATGGAAGCAAATTTTCTGGAGCAAACTTTCCTTGTCAAAAACTTTAATATTCTAGGTGAAAAAGCTAAGGCAAGATCTTGGCATTTTCCAGCTATGAATTTTCAGTCTCTTTCCTGATTATGAAGAAAAATATAGATGATTCTCCTACATCTTTGGCATATGCCAGAAAAATTTTGAATTGTTCAGGGATCAGGAATATAAAATGGCTAGGTTTACAAACATGCTTCACCTGATTAATCCATGTTATAAATGCACACAATCCTTTAAATAGTGACTAATTAGACAGCAGGATTCACAACTTTCTAAGGTTAAAATTATCCCATGTTGTGTGAATGCAGCCATTAGGTCTTTGACTGGTATAGTTAAATATGCTGTGTTCATACAACCTATAAAGCACAAACCCAATGCTCATTAAGAAAATTTGAATGACATGTTTTCATCATAATATTAAGCTATAATAGCTTGATTTGTTCATGTAGATGATAAAAAGAAAAATGATTGGCTAAGCATTTTACATGTATTTGACCAAACAGATGCTCTTCATGAAAGACCTAAGAAATGCCCCTAACTATCTTTAAAGAATCTTTGACAACTATTGTGATTTGTCTCAGGATCAATTGTGTTGTTTTGTTTTTTGTCATTCAAAAAATATGTTTAACTGTTGCCCAGAATTTAGGCTTTCGCAGTACTTTAGCCCAGAATTTAGGCTTTAGCAATACTAATAACTGCGGTGGGGGTTCCTTGGAGTCATTGCTGACTCCTGGCAACTGCCTGAACAAGATCCTGTTGCTTTCTTGGCAAGATTTCAGAAGTGATTTGCACTTCCTAAGCCTTCCTAAGGCTCACAGGAAGAGACTAGCGCAAGGTCACTTAGCTGGCTGTGTGCCTAAAGTCGGATTAGAACTCATGGTCTTCTGTACCGCTTATAGAAATAGCACTGAGATTTATATACTGCTTCACAGAGCTTTACAGCCTTTTCTAAGCCATTTACAGAGTCAGCATATGGTCCCCAACAATCTGGGTAATTTTACCAACCTCAGAAGAATGGAAGGCCGAGTCAATCTTTAGCCTGTGAGAATCAAACTGCTGCCAGTTGGCAAAATTAACCTGCAATACTGCATTCTAACCACTTCACCACCATGGTTCATGGTAATTAGTTGTTCCTTGTTTCTAAGAAATTCCACATTAAGCAGATATTTATCACATATTTCCTTGTGCATTTCAAGAGACTTCTCAACAGTAGAATGTAGTGGCAGGTTGTATATTTTAGTTAGAAGGTCTACAATCTCAGCTTTAAGCCACTTAAGTGGAGGCTATCAAGGCCTGGTGATTTGTTTATGGTCAGTAAGTCCTAGCAATTATAAAATATATATATTTAAATGGCAAACTATTTCTGTATTACTGCAAAGAAAATCATATGTAGGTAGCTCAACAATTAGGCCTGAAGATAAAATGGTCAAGACAAAGTTGAAAAGAATGGACCAATATCAGAAGAAGAGTTCCTCAAAGTGCATATAATTGGAACATGGAATATGAAAGCAAGGAAGCAAAATAAATAAATAAATCTGAAACTGTCAAGGTGAAATAAAGCATGCTAATTGGAAGATTTATAAATAAGTGGTATATTAGATAGACTGAATGGGCCACTTTAAAATCAGATAGTTGTATGTTATCTATGTTGTCAGACCATACAAAAAATGGAAATGTCTCTAGGATTTTAAAAAATGTGCTTGGCTTTACCTAAATAACTGACAGGATTATATCTATTATGGTAGAATTAGTGAATATCAATGTTACACAAGTATTTGAACTTGTAACTGCAGTGGTGGAAGGCACTAAGAAATTATATGAGAAATTGCAAAAGATACTAAATGCAACTTCAAGAAAAGACATACTGCTAGTAATGGATGAATGGAATATAATATAGAAGAAATGGAGAAACCTGAAATTACAGGAAGGTTTAGACTGGATATCTTAATTAAAGCATATAAAACTATACATGAAAATAACAAATTAAGAGAATTAAGAAATATTTCAAAACAGAAAACAGAGAGCCAAGGATGGACATTACCTGCAGGTCTATTAAATGTTTTCAGTGAATATATAAGAATGGCAGGATTGGAAGAAATTACAGGCTAAAAACTGGAGGTCAAAACATACCAGAAATCATCACTTTGTAGCTTGATGTTAGAAAAGCTCATTATGTAAGTAAACCAGAAAGTATAATGTTAAATATTAAATGGTAATGTCAACCAGTGTGCTTAATGAACTTACAATTGACAACCAAGAAGTGAGTAATAGGGGAGGGGGGAATTGGACAGAGAGGCTTAATAAATTATAGGACTAGACTGTCTGTTTAAGAAATAGAAAAGGAATTAACTGTAGGAAGGGACACAATTACAAACATAAATAAACTATGAAGACTAAAGATTTTCTACAACAAAACCATTGTAGTAAAACATTGATCTTTCTGGTATCACAATAGTGAAAGCAATGGTCTCGCCAGTAAAAATGTACAGCTGTGAAAGCTGGGAATTGAAACCAAGATAAAGATAGATGCCTCTGAATTATGCCTCTGGAGATGCTTATTAATAATAACATGGATCACAAGAAAAATAAATTAGCCAATCCTGGATCAAATGGATTGCTCCTTTAAGGCAGTGTCAGTCAGCAAAAACTCACTCTAAACATGGAGTTGGATAATGGAGTACCAAAACAATTTAGCAACACAGAGAGAAATAAGAGAGAACTAAAAAAAATAGACAGACAGAATCAAAATGATTACAGGATTGGCCATAAAAAAGCTATGTCATACTACAGCAGACAGATCAAAATGGTTATTATCTAACTACACAATTATCAGAAGTCAAACCAGACTTGATGGAACCTATCTAATCAATGGTATTCTTCCATTCCGGATACCATTTAGCCATGGGTCTAAATAACTACAGCATTTGAAAATCTCCTCCATATTTTTTTTAAGTAAAAACCCTTGCTCCAAACACTCCTGAATGTCCTTTTTTCATACTGCTGCACATGCAGACTGAGTTGCATCTTTACTTTTATCAATGCACAATTCGTGACTATTTTAGACATTCGGGGGTTTTATACCTGAAGCAAAATCACTTAAGACATTTTTACAACAAAATTCTATCCCCTGTCATAGTCATACATCAGAAATAACTATCCAAGTACAGTATTTGAAACATATTACTTTCCCAGTATTGGCTATCATATTTTGTGGTCATAATTTAATTTTTTCAAAAATATAAAGAAACAACTTTATAAAGTATACACTTACCTTAGACTGGGGGATTTTTTGAGTTTTCGTGCTAAATTTTTCTTTCATTTGTTCTAAGAGTTGCTTCACATTTCTTTCTTCAGACGTTCCTAAATATTTTTGGTTAATGTGAAGATAACAGTGCCACTTTGCTGACTCAAAGCCCCAGTGACAAGTCCTCTTGTCTGGAGATCGATGGGAATGCATCACAAAGGTTTGGGGTGAAAACATCCCATAGCATTCTGAACACTGGATACATGGGGAATCTGGCTGAAGATAAAATTGTGGAGCAAACAAACCTTGACACTTGCCCAAGCATTCATGTTCTACTTCAAAGGCACTTCCAGTCTCCTTTAGTTGGGCCAGTGAACTTTTAGCATGAAGCAGGCTGCCATTTTGAGGAAAAGTGCGAGGGCGCAACAATGCATTGCATAATCTTTGAGCATCGGTCAAAGTGATAAGTCCACAAGAAGGGGCATTAAAGGGTAGAATCCCCAAAACTTTTAAGATGTGAAGCTGATCAGAACTGCATCTAGAACAATAGATGTAAAGTTCATCACACACTGTGTTAATTTGCTGTAGAGAATAGTCTCTGAGGACAGAATTCAAAACTTGAGGCAAACAAAGTCTTTTTTCTCCTCCAACTTTAAAACAAGATATAGACTCCCCTTCCAATAAAGTCTGAGTCAACTCTGTAGAACTATCTGAAGGAACAAGCAATGGGCCAGGAAGGATCTGAGGTGATGGAAGAGGTACAAAAACAGATGACATGTTTTCTTGTGAATGTCGAGCAGAAAATGCTGCTGGTCCACCAAGTGAACTCTGACTGCTTAAATGGAACTGTGCCAATGTATGTTTCAAACCAGGATTTAAGTTCAAAGGCTCTGTTGCTGCAGCAATATTTGGCTTGGCATCTTCTTCTCTGTCATCTATAGGATTTTCTTCACATTCATCCAAATGTTCCTTCTTAATGACTGGCAACTTATTTACCATTGTGTGTATTTTATCCTTTACATGGATTTCTGTCATGACTTTTTTTGATGGAGGGCTGCCATCTTCTTGAGCAACAGTCCCTTTTGATGGATGTCCGAGGATGATTTTTTTCTGTGGAGCTTCCATAGCTAAATTTGAAATAGGTAAAATTGAAATTTTAACAAAGGTAGCTAATTCACATCTCAGTTTCCAGTTAGCTTAGTTGCAAAAAACTAATATGGCTTTTTTGAGGTAAATATAAAGAATTACATGAAATTTCTGATATTTAATACAGTATTCTTTCAAAATGACAATATAAAATGTACAACTCAATATCAGACCAAAATAGTTGGCTCAGACCTTTAGATCACTTTGTTTTAAAATGATCCAATGATATAATCCAACATAAAACTGTGATTTAACATAAAATCTACTTTTGAAATTTTCTATTTTTATACAAATAAAGGATCATATTTCTTTCCATTTGAACCTGAATCACATAAATGCACCTGTTCTCATATCCAAGCATGCCAATTTCAAATTAGACTGAGAGATTAGATGGAGGTAGTTTTATGCAAAAGAATTCTGATATTCCCAGTATCACAAGCAACACTTTGAGTTTATTGGGCAGAAAAACTGTCCAGCAAGAATGACACTTGTTCTTCTAAAAGAAAGCCAAAGGAATCTGATACCAGAGTCCTGGTTTTAACACTATCTATACGTATCAGACGAGCTGCACATCCATACAGAAATAAAGGCCACTGTAAATTCCAGTGTTCCAACCACAATACTTAATCAGGACAAGTAAGTTTGAGACATCAGCAAAATTAACTTCTAGAGCCAGTATTTTACATATATTTATCCATTAAAGGAATATGAACAAAAGGAAGAAAAACAAGAAATTTATAGGAATAGGTTAAAATCTAAAAGCTCCAAATATAATAGGATGCATCCTAAATGGATATATTACTATATTGGGCCCAGAGATTAAAGCATATTAAATATTTGCACACCAACGATTCCAGAGTGAATATAATTTATATTTTAAAATGCTGGATTAAAAAATAAAGATTTTAGACATGTCTCTAGAACTATTTAATTAACATACTCTAATGTATCCTCTTAGAATCCAAACAATTTCTCTTGCAAAAAAAAAATCCATGATCAATCTTGTAAAGCACAAATCAGCCAAAATAATAATAATAATAATAATAATAATAAAAATAGAATAGCAGCAAAGAGCAAAATGTGTTTTAACTCTCCCCCGCCCCCCATGATAATCCTCTCCCTGTACATGCTATTTTCTCTCCTGGACATTGGGGGGGGGTGCCTTATTTCTCCTTTCTACTCTCATACTTCCTATTACATTTATTCATCTATGCAATCTCAAAAAGGACAGCTGCATCCATAAATTCCAATGACCTCCAGTTCTTGTAAATGTGTCATTTAAAATATAATTTAGGCAATTTGATTGCACTATAACCTTATCATCTTTTCCTGTTTTTAGAGGGAAATATTTCCCTTTACCTCTACATAAAGATACTAACATGATGATAATAATAATGATCCTTCCACTTATTTTGAAAGAAAGGAGAATACAAGAAAAGCTTTTGCTAAATTTTCTCCTTCTCCAATGAGATATTTTACACTTTCATAAAGCCCTCAATTACTAGTGCTTGATTTCATAAATACATACATGGTGCCACATTTCCTCAATTTTCTTTTAAAAAACATCTTTCCTACAGATCTTTAATTTTGCTGCAAAGCTGTAGACTTCCTCTGACTAGAAGCCCATTCCTATAGTTCCCCATTTTCATCTGGAACTTATTCTAAGTTCAGAAAGCACCAAAGACTCCACAATTTATCCCTCAGCTACATTTATTGCCTTCTACACTTACATACACAATTAGAAAATATATTAAAATGTTTTACACAAATTATTTCTAAGTACTGTTTTCTAGGGATCTGGAGAAGAGACTTCAATCTTTTAAGAGTAATGATGGTGGCAACACTCCAACCACACTCATACTTAAAATTAATTTCTATACTGCACATTCTACCAGAAATCTTTGGAATAAAAAAATTCAAAACACTAAAATCATTAGTATATTTTAAAAACACTAAAACTACAGTCAAATGCTAAAATAACTACTCTATATTTAGAGCAACTTTGAAATCAACATAAAACTAAAGTTAGATGAGCCGCCTATTATGGAAACTTCTGTTGTATACCAGTTGTTGTGCAAAAACAAAACAAACCCCCTCACTATTGTTTTACATAAAGCAACTCAAGCATAATGAGTTTTAAACAATGCAGATTGTATTACAAAACATGACCAGCCAATATTCTTTGTTTTCTATTATTCAGCATATTTCTCAAAACCTACCTCCTCAGCACTAGAGAATCACTCTCTCCCATCAACTAATGTAAAAAGAAATGTAAATCATCTTCTATGACTGTGTATGTATATTCAACATACTTTGTCTAAATTTCAAACGCATGCTACAATATATTTTACTCCTAAACTGAATCATCCTAGTTTCCTATTTACTAGTTATATTCTCATCCTCACTCAATGAAAAAAAAAACCTGCATTATTTTCCCATAAAAGCAGCAAAGCCCTCAAGACTAAAAAAAAATGTCTCCCTTTATTAATTGCCACACAAGTTCCCATGTCACACCAATTTCACACGAAATCTTTCTGAAACTAAGGCGTTCAAATAATTCAGCGCTTATATTGCGCAACCACAGCAAACCACCTCTTTCTCCATATTTATACAATAACCTTAAGAAAGCTATCTGAAAGCTCGGCGTGGCAGTTAGCCGAACCTATATCCTCCTGACAGCAGTTATTTTCAAAGAAAACAAGAGTTAGAAAATGGCAGGCAAAGCTTCCCCGAAAGGCTGACTTAACCGCTTTAAGTCTGCAGAGAACTACCACAACTGATCGGTTGAGGTACTTCTTTAAAGGTTTGCCGTTTACACCCTTTGCCCAAAAGAACAAAAGTTGGGCCCGATCCACTGAAAAAACAAACAAACAACAAAAAAAAAACCCTATACTCCGCCTGGAATCCTTGCAGCCGGCAGACACGCCAAAAAGAGGAGCAAAACTTCCCCCAAGCAGACATTCCGTTCACCTGAATAAGATTACCTGAAGCTGGAAAACGCAACCCCCTCCCCCGAGGGCTTCCTCTGTGTGTGTGGGTGGCCGTCGCTCCTCTCTTAACACCCCCCTCCCCAAAATATAATAACCTGCCCGCCCCCTGAGAAAAAGCGAGGAAACTCCTTCTTTGTCCCTGACCCAATTCTTTGGGTCCAGGACTTTTTGCTCTCCCGCAAATATCACTTGCTGAAGCTAAGCAGCTTCAAAGCCTCCCCTCCTCCTCCTCCTCCTCCTCCAGAAAGCCTCCCCCCCCCCCGCCCCAGCCTTCCTGTCTTTTAGCCCGGGCGAGAGGCTGGCTGCGTTCGCGGGCGGAATTCCCCCTCCTTTGCCCTGCCTTCAACTCTCCTCCTTCCCCCTTTCTTCAGCCAGACGGGCTGGCTCGTCTGCTGCTCCAGACGCTCCTCCTTCCTCCTCCTCCCCCGCGGGGGTGAGGAAGGTGAAGTCTAGCAGTGGAGGCGGGGAGGGCGACGGCGACGCCGCCGCGCGGGGCTTGGGAGAGACTGAAAGGGGCTGCTGCCCCCCCCCCCCCCCCCCCCCCCCCCCCCCCCCCCCCCCCCCCCCCCCCCCCGCCCCCCACCCCCGCCCCGGCGTCCCGCCCCCCCCCCCCCCCCCACCCTGGCGATCTAGCCCCCCACACCCACACACCCGGCCTTCCCTAACTCCGAGCTCTCTCTCCCCGCCGAACGGCTGGATTACAACTCCCATCCTCCACCCTCCCCCACACCCGCTCCGGGGAGCACCGGCGTCGTGGCGCAGCTCAGGTGGAGAAGAGGGGGAGGGGGGGTGAAAAAACGAGTCCTGACTCTGAGGCGGCGGCGTTTCTCCCCCCCCCCCCCGGTAACTCCCTCCCACCCACCCACCCCAGGTCGGAGGTGGGGGGGGATGGGTGCTCGCCCCTCATCTCTCTCCTCCCCCCCCCTTTCCCGCCGTTCCATTACCTCAGTGTAACCTACACGCCGCGCGAGCGCTGCCCTCCGCCCCCCCGCCTGCTCTTCTTTCCCCCCCGACTGGCCCTGCTCCCCCCCGCGGGGGGGGAGACGTCCTCTCCTTACCGCACATCCCAGCGGGCGCCCCGGTTCTTCCCAAGAGTGGAAGAGAAGCGGCTGCCGCCGCCAACGTACCGCCCACCCGTGACCTCACTGCAGAGACAGGAGGAGGAGGAGGAAGAGGGTGGAAAAGCCGCCGTGACGGAGGGGCGGCGGTGGTGGTGGCGGCGGCGCACGGGCAGGAATCCGCCCGGCTCGCGCGTCCCGCCAAGCCCCGCCCCTGTCTGGGCCAGGCGGCGCCGGCGCTGCGCTGCGGCGCGTGTGTGTCTGCCAAGAGACGTCATCCTGCTTCCCCCGCCTTGGGCTGGCGGGGAGGGGGGGGGAATGGTGGAGGCGAGCGAGGGAACCCCCGTCTGCGGCGCCGTTGAAATGCCGCTCGGCTGGAATCGATCCAAGCGTGGGTCAAACCAAGATCACGGGTGGGGGGGGATGGGAGGGGGAAAAAAAGAGGTCGTTAGATTTCCCTAACCCCGTTCAGGTGCAGTCAGTGCCTGAGGCCACGTGACTCCCCGGCGTCTCTCCCGCCCTGGCATGGTACGATCCTGAGCCGACCTTGGTTGACCTCGAAAACCTGAGCCGGCTCTGTGGGAGAGGAGACCATCAGGAAATCCCAAGCCAGGGAAGTGGTGGTGGTGATGGGGGGGGGGGGAATACTATAAAGCAACCACTTCCCTATCGCTGCAAGCAAAGTATATAGGGACATAGCCATGAAGCCCTCCGGATCTAAGGTGGCTGGGAGATTTTTATCTTTCCCCTGCCTCGACCCTCCATCTCGCCCTCCCCAGAATGTCTCCTCCAAACCACATAGCGTGTTTTATGAGTAGGCAGCGTCTCTTGCCTGGGGTCGTTTCAGAAGAGCAAGCCGCAGGGCGAGGGTGCCGCAGAGGTTTTGCACGATGCTCCATTCGGGGTGCGGGTGTGAAAACTGAGTTCACGATAAAAGGATGCCTTTGGCGGAGGAGTTCGGGGGGGGGGGCGCAGACTGATCTTACGTGGTATTTAAGGACCAGACAGAGAAACTAGCCGCCTCCGGATTCTCCGAGATTTTACATCCCAGCATTTCCGAATCTTGATCTGAAGCCAGAATCAGGGCATCTTGACTTAGTGGGTTTGGTGATTCCAGCAATGGGCGTCTAAATGCTAATTCCTGGCTAAGGATTCTGGGAGTTGCAGTTCTGGCACATCTGGAGTTCCACCTGATTGGCAAAAGCTAAACCAGACTCTCTGCTGCCATTTCGAAAACGAAGGGCTCGTGCAATTAATTGCTTAAGGCAGAAAATCCAAATGATGCCTCCCCCTCCCACTTCCATTACCCGAAAGTATCAAGACTTGCCTCTGGATTGCGTTGTGACTCTGATGTCACTCGATGGGGAATTTATATCATCTCGTGATAAACTCTTTTGATGTGTTTGGTTTTAGGTTGTCTGGTCAAAACCCCCATTATTATTATTATTATTATTATTATTATTATTATTATTATTATTATTTATTTTATTATTATTATTATTTTAATGTAGCTTGCAATCACCCTTGAACCCAGAGTTTATAAACCTTAGCCTGGGATTCTGGGAAGTGAAATCCACATAGTTTAAAGTAGCTGAGATTTAGAAACCATGCTTTAACATCTACATATATTCTGACTGTAAAGTTGGAGCTTACAAGTAACAAGTCCCCCCCCCTCATTTTACAGTAATGCTTTCCATCACAGCTGTTAGAATCAGTTTATTTGGCAATATTTTTTTTTAATATGGGGAGGAGTCATTGTTAACCAGTTTTCTCTCCTTTAAAGATACTTCCTGTATATTTCTCAAACATCTGTGTAGCCTCTAATCAGAATTAAATATATGATCCAGTTATAGGTGCACGTAAACCAGGAATTTCAGGATGTGCACAATAAGTGTGTGTGGTTTCAAGACATTTTTGACTTTCAGTGACTACCTGGACTATTCAGTTTTCTTGGAAAACTATTTTTAGAAGTGGTTTGTCCTTACATTCTTTTTGGACTGAGAGTGACTGGCCCAAAGTTACCCAGCTACCTTCATGCCTAAAACAGTCTCAATTACTAAGGCAGGATGATTAAAACAATATGCAGTGCATCCTAAGCAAAAATATCAAATCTTTGATTTAAGGATCAAGTCCTCTAAGGGTGAAAACAAAGGGAAGAGAGAGGCAACATATTTGAATTTGAAAAAATACATCTGCAATGAATTCAATGATGTCTGCGTTTACAAGACTCACTGAAAAAGAAATGACTATACTGTGCCGGAATAACACTACTGGTACAAACAAGTTGTTAAAGACATTTTAAAGTCATCCTAAAATAGAAACAATTGTGATCAATCACAATTTGTACAGTCATGATTTGCTGAGTAAAACATGAGTTTTTGGGTAGCAGATAGCACAAAGAAACATTGACATTGGGTGTATAATTTTTATATAAATATATATATATATATAGTATTTATATGTTTATAATGTATGTTTAATATTACAAATATATATATGTACAATAGTAATGTTAAGTGTACAATAGTAATTTAATTATAATTTATATATATATATATATATATATATATAGAGAGAGAGAGAGAGAGAGAGAGAGAGAGAGAGAGAGAATCATGTGTATGGTCTCATTCTTTATGAACAGAAAGCAAGCTGAATGGAAAGAGGAAGAAAGTGATGAAAGCTCTAAAAATTCCAGTTGTACTAATAAGGGGCATGTTAAAATAGTAATATGCAAACTAAGTCATTCAAGAAAAGGAGACGTAATGCTCTGCTAGCTACCTCTGTTTCGATTGGCGCTGATGATAGATTTTTCAGTTCAAAAAGCCACTGCTTGCAAAGTTGAATTCCCATGCAAACTATTTGCTCAGCCATAAAACACTGCTTTCAAATCACAATGGATAGGCTCATGTATCACATATACTACACTCAAAGCAAACAGACAATATGATGGAATATTAGGGCTAATAAATTTGTATTATGGATAACATGCTATGGGAACCCAAATTAGAAGTGTAGTTGTCAACTGGATTGATCTAACAGGAGATTCAGATCATTTAGTAAGAGGTCAGAAAACTGCCTAAGAAACAATAAAAAATGAATTCAAATAGGAATGGGAAAGAGAAATACAGAGTATTTCTTGCAAAGTAACTTGCAAGCAGCACCTGAATAAATCTGGTTGTATTTGAGGATTATCTGTAAACCAGCCAGACCCAAATGTGTTTTTATCAGTAGCCCTCAAATACAACCATTGGTTTAGTGAGCCTTTGGGGAAAAAATGAGTTCTGACCATTTTTCGCACTTATGACCATTGCAGCATTCCCATGGTCATTAGCATTAGCATTACATCCTCCTGTAGTATATCGTATATCAGGCAATAAGGGTTCTCTAGCATTATCTCTTTAGCGTGTCTTCCTATGCAGTCTTTCCATGCAATGTGTCCTATCCCCATGGTCACATGATCAAAATTCAGATGCTTAGGAACTGGCTCATATTTATGACTGTTACAGTGTCCCGGGGTCATGTGATCACCCTTTGCAACTTTCTGACAAGCGAAGTCAATGAGGAAGCCAGATTCATTTAACAACCATGTTACTAACTTGGCAACTGCATCAAGAAAATTTGTAAAATGGGGCAAAGCTCACTTAACATCTGTTTCACTTAGCACTGGAAATTTTGGGCTCATTTGCAGTTGTGATTCGAGAACCATCGTTATTAGGTTCTAATTTATTATTTTTTTTAAATCCAACTTCCTCTCTTAAGAGCCTTGGGTGGTGAGCTCAATTTAAGAAATTTAAACTGGGAACGAGCAAAGGAAAATGGATGGTGGAAGCCATGTAATTTATATAATCAGAACGCCAAATCCACAACTTCCATTATGGTCCACAAGATTGCTAGCAAAGTTGTAAAGCTCTGAGTTCTCATACAAGATAAAATAAATGTAACAAGTTCTTTTAAGGAGCTTTCTATGTGGCAGTGTGAAAATTCCACAGTGCAATTTTAAAATCTCTTTATAGCTCACCTTTCACATTTTTTTTATGTGGTTTCTGATAGGTGATGTCTCTCTCACCCACACATGAACGGAAAAGCGAGACAACTGATCTGCATTTTTAATACACAAGTGAAAATTGCTCTCCCGAATTGCTTCACGTTGAAAGGAAGGTGTTGACTAGGGTTGTACAAAAAATTAAAAATAACCTTCCTGTCAAACTGGTTAACACACACACCAAGCCTGTTTTTCAAACTGCTAAAATGGATTCAGAATTTTATCACAGTTTTATGAATTAATTTTTCATGCCCATTGTAAACATCTGTCATGCAAAAGAAGATGATTTCCTACATTAACCGAGTACATAATTAAAAATGAGGGCAGGAAAAAAGTGCCTTCTAAAAATTCCATAATTATGAAAATTGGTTTGATTTAAAAAAGAATAGTTAGCAACTGCTCAAGAACCATTTCTGATTTTATTTATTCAGTATTTATAACCAATGATCCTTCATCAGTTCCTAGCAGATGGGTGTTGAACAGATTCTAATGCTCAAATATATTGTTAATCCTCACCTAACAGATAATCCCTCAGATGAAATTTTTACTGAATGTGTCTTTAAAGCAATTTCTGAACATTGTGCTTCCAAAACCTATGAACAGAAAGGCCTATGAATATAGAAATCGGACGTCTTGCCAAGTGAAATTCTTAGTATCCATTTGCTATCCTCTCTCTGTTTCCTGGCAAATTTTTAACTAAAACCAGACCTTATTATTAAGAAAAGTTATTCTAAATTTTACGTATTGTTAACAGTATGGTTACCAAGAATTAGCATCATGTGTTTGCAAATGATTGTTACAGCAACCATACAAAACAATTTTCATCTCGCTACTATTAATACCTTACCAGATGTAAAGGTAGGTATATATTGTAGAGATTAGTAAGGAATGGCCTTAAAGGAGCGCCCTCTCACACACAAACTTTGAAAGAAGAGTTAAATGATTGACAGTTTAGTGGACACTTTAGTGGGAGGCAATGGGTTATCACAGAATTATCATCAGTGCCATGAAATAACGTAGGATCTTACTTGCTGTGTTTTGTAAATTCTCCTCCAAGTAATACCTGAAAAGCTTTAGTGGAGATAATGAATACTTATGAATGGCTCGACTATTTTCCTTAGACTTACAACCTAGCCTAAATTCAGTTTTCCCAGTTTTCTTAAAAGTCTACCTCTTTTCAAGGGCCATGAAATGTCTTCATTGTTATTGTAATTCCTTTTCGGAGCTCAGTTGTGCACAGCCCATGTTCCCCATCCTGCAATCAAGGTCTACTTAAATCTTGTATTCTGTCTTTAGTGGCTCTAATGCATAGGCATTTTATTACGTACTTCTCGGTTCTGTATTCTCCTTTTTCTTGGTGCATAGTTCTCACTTCTGTATAAAATAAAATTTTCACACACCACCACGAGTGATGTAGCATGCATACTTTCTCTTAATGAAGCATACTTTAACACATTAGTTGTCAGTATGAAAGCTCTGTGTGGTGTTGGCGAGCTTCATAGTACCTCTAGGGAACAAGGAACAGATTTGATACTGGCACTTTCTCCCCCTGCCTCCAAAAGATAAAACTCAAGTACAAAAACAGTACTTTGGAACAAAGTTAACCTTCGCATAAGGCTGTTGTTAATTAATAAAAGAGATATGGGACCCACAGCTTCAACCAACCAGAGAATATAGCATTGCAAGTAATTTATACCTACACTGGTGTCACACACTACCACCCAACTTATCATTGTTTACTCCTCTGCCAAATGAAGGAATGTAGCTGTGAGTAAGCTTGCGTTCTCTGCTTATCTTAGCTAGGTGGGGCATTAACTATTAGGTTGGCCCATTGAGGTTCTTGCTGCATCATATCCTACATTACAATGGACTTTTTGTCAACAAATGGGGACTCTCTTCAGGGTAGCTCCCTGAAGAAGGTTGCTGCACTATTGATGAATCAAAGAAAACCAAAACTGTAAATGCCAGTGGGTATATCTACAATATGCTGGTTTTTGGTTACTGGTTAAGAGGTAGACAGACATGGATGGGATTACTCTGAAGTGCATGATTATCTTGTCTGCATTCCAGGGCAATACACATCACTAATGTCTGTTTCTCGCCAGAGAAAGCAGAATTAACTGTAAGCAAAAGGCAATGTTTATACCACTCTTATATGAAAAATAGCAAATGTGGTCATTCAAAGGGTGTTTGAGAAAAAAGAGCAGGACGAATTGCAACACAGGATATAAACAAAAGCCCTGCTTTTTTTTTTATTTTGAAACTTAAAAATGACAGTTTAAAAAGTATGTAGAAATTTCAGGAGATGGTTACACAAATATCAAAGGCAACAAAAGAAGGAAACTCACAACAGAACAGAACAAGTTCAGTGAAAACATCCACCAACACAGTTTTTATATAAAACCAACCGTTACAGCCCATCAGCTTGTCCATATCTGAATTCCTAATTCAATTATTTTAAAATAGCTTCTACATTTTCATAAAAAGGTTTAAAAATTAACACTTTAATATCATGGCATTTACCTGAAACAAATATGAAAAAAACCCTCAAAATACATGTTTTAATATTCAAATCTTCGTTAAAGTTGACATCACAAAATGAAATATACACTACACATGTACACAGTCAGTCAGACAGTCAGACAGAGAGACACATTTACAGGAGGGAGTAGAAGCAATTCTGTCTGTAAATGCATCAATTTTGTGCTTAGAATTCTTGAATGTTAAAATTTTATTCTAGACTTGTGCGAGTCAGACAAAGTACTTCTGGTAAGAAAACCATTTTGTACCGAGCCCATTGTAAGTAGCCTAATTTTATTTGCTGTAATGGAGAAATCTGAAAAGGAAGAGGGAAGGAGTCAAGCATTTAAGTTTATGCCACAGAAATAATTGCTGCCCCCCTCAAAAGATTACTAAAGATAATTTACCAGATCTAAAATTTACCAGGACTAAAAAGATGTTTAGATGTACCCTGAGTATGACACAGCTTGTTAGCATTATAATGAAAGTACAAGAATCAATTAGTGCTTTTATTTGAATAATACAAAATAATTCATACTATTCAAATAAACAAATTTTCCCCCATGCACTAAAGTTCAATAAATGCCATAGTAGCAAAAAGAGTAATCTGTACTTGTGAGGATTTAACTGGGAAATCTGTCACCTCATTGACTGCCAGACTGATTTGGCTGGTGTGACTATGTGGGTGCCCCCTTTCTCTCTCCTCCTGATCAGAACGGAGCTGGAAAGGATCTTGGAGGTCTTCTAGTCTAATCCTCTGCTCAAGCAGGAGACCCTATACATTTCAGACAGGGGTCTGTCCAGTCTTTTCTTAAGAACCTCCAGTGATGAAGCACCTACAACTTCTGGAGGCAAGCCATCCCGCTGGTTAATTGTCCTCACTGTTAGGAAGTTTCTCCTTAATTCTCTCCCTGATTGGTTTCCCTCCGCTGTTTCTTGTCTTGCCTTCTGGTCCTTTGGAAAATAAGTTGACCCCCTCTTCCATGTGGCAGTCCCTCAAATACTGGAACACTGCTATCATGTCTCTCCTAGTCCTTCTTTTCTCTAGACTGGCCATACCCATACCCAATTCCTATTCAACCATTCCTCTTATGTTTTGGTCTCCAGGCCCTTCATTGCTCTTAGGCCCTTAGTTGCTCCAGGCCCTTAGTTGCTACTCTTTGCATTTTTTCTCAACATCTTTTTTGTTTTATAATATGTATAAATAAAAACATTGTGTAAGTAAATTACGGTCCCCGTTAATATGATGAAATAGCCACATGGAACATTATCTACCTATTTCTCCTCAAAAAGACCCAACAACTGATTTATTTTTTTTTTTGCTTAAATTAGTTTTATACTATATAATAATCCAAAAGCTGAGGAAGGCACTCATTTATATAGCATAAGTTATTGAAGACTTCACTAAAAATTAAAAACAATGTAATACATGTGCTTGATAAGAAAATTCTCTTTTACAATAGAACCGTTAATGTCATTGCATCTACTATCCATGATTTTATCACTGTCACCGGAAATGCTGTATCACTTTCATTTAGTCTGCAGAATGTAGGCTTCATTCATAATTCTTAAGGGATACAGATAATAAGTATACATAAGATGTTTCAAAGTCAGAATTGTCGCAAGACAGTAATTATACGGAGATTTAATCAGAAGCACAACTCACCCAATCCAATGGGGTCTCAATAACGAAGTCAATTCACAGTAAATTCAGAACGTTTACAAAATGAGAGCAGCTTTTTATACTATCTGTATAAAAGCTCCTGTCTTTTGTGGACATAACATTTAGTACATTCAGTGTGGGGATACTTCTTATTTTGCAATTTTTTTACAATTAATTTGGTAGCTTAATTTGGATAATGCAGTAAATAAAAATAAGTAAAGATGGAAGGAAGAAAAAAAACCCGATGCAGTCTTACTATCTCTAAACCTAGCTGTCAGAAAACCACACTTTATATACAGTTTGCTAAACATCACTTAATGAAACAGCAAATCTATAAAACACAAACTAACTTTACATGTGAAGCAGAACATCTGGCAAAATCTTTTATTTCATATTAGATAACTCCTGCCCAGAACAATTACCGTGTCTTAGACTCCAATTTTGGTGGAATCTTTTGTTTCCTTTTATATCAGTGAGCAAGTATTCCGCTTATAGCACGTTAATGATATGTTATGATAAAGTTCATACCAGATGACAAATGCATTGGATCCATTGCTTCCCAACAGAAACATTTTTCACCCATGCAGGCAAAACATTTATAAAAAAGATGGCACAGGTCACGCGTAGGAGATCAGACACATTCTTCGGCTGACATCAGGAGGGGATTGATATATTCAAATCCTTCAAACTCGGACTGATCAATCTTCTTTACAATATCACTGAAAGTATGAGCAACAATACCAAAATCAAATTTCTATTCCAAAATTAAAATACAGTTAGTCCTCATCTTAAGACTGGTTACTTAGCAACTGAGTTGCACCGTTACAATGGACCTCCCCAAGATTACTTATGATTGAGATTTGACGTTCCAAAGGCCACTCCCCCATAGTCACAAGACTGCATTTTGAGTGCTCTGTATCTGTAAAGGGGCCACATTTAAAGCCAGTTGCCCCATCTTGGAATCACGTGACTATGATTTATGACTTTCTTTGCCATAAACTGGCATGTTTCCAGCAAAACCTACCCGTTGCAGACAATGGATTCACATAACAACCATGACCATTCCCTGCAAGTTTTGATTTACAATTGCTGCATTCACTTAACAACTGCCATAGAAAAGATAGTAAAACAGTCAAGGCCACATGGTGACTCAGTTAATAACCAGCACAACTTACAACTGTAATTCTGGGCTCAATTATGGTCATTAGGTCAAGGATCTTAAATGTCTAATATAAATCGTCCTCAGATATTCTTCTCTCCATGAATCATAAATAATAAACTCTAGAAGAAGTAAAAGCTTGCTCATTGTTTACAGGAATGGACTCAGATAGAAAAATCCTTGAATGGGCATGTTTGGCTGAACATTTCATCGTTTTGCATCACTCCTCCTAAGCATGTGTCTGCAGAAAATAGGCTGTTTTGTTTTTAATTGAGATCCACCTCCATCCTCTGTTGGCATGGCTGTCAAGTGTAGGAGGACTGGCAGAACCAAGGGGAGGAGTTAAAGAGGAGGAGTTAAAGAGGCATCAGTTTAGACTCATTATATAGGCACAAGTGAACTTTTATCTATGACCCTTATCTACTTCTAACCAGGTTAGTCTGAGAAGATTCCTGTACATCAATCTGTGGCATCTTCAGCTAGAATCATAAAGTAACTCCTCAACCCAAAGGTTTCATGAAGTGATGTTAGATAATTTTGGACTATATGTGTCAGTCTCTTACACTGAATTATCAGTACACGACCAAAACATTAGATTGGACCCACTGAACTTGAATTTCAGAAGTTAATGTAACTAGACTTTTATTCTCCAATTTACCACCAGCCTTTCTATTCATTACATTAAGAAAGTCATTTCTGATGAAGAATCCAAGTCCATGTTCAATCAGACCATGGATCTATCAACTTAAATATCCTGCTTCTAAGTGGTCATTCATACTGTATCAAGGACATGAGGGTATAACTTCAAATTGACAGGAAATTCCAAAGGTGCTTTTTCAGGAGGCAACTGGACTTTCTTGTTTTTTCTTTGAAGACAGTAAAAGTAACAGATTTGGAAGGGACCTTGGAGGTCATCTAGTCCAACCCCCTGCTCACGCACTAGGGATTTGAACCGCTGACCTTTCTGATTGACAAGCTCAGCATCTTAGCCACTGAGCCACCTAGCCAGGCATTTCAAATTTCACTTCTCATCCAAGAAGCTTCTTCAGTTCTGACTGGATGGTGGGGAACGGAAGGATTTATATTCCTTGCAGACAGCTGGTCATTTACATCCTTTTTGAGGGTCGTTGAAGGACTTGGATATTTATTTGTGTCCTCAGGGTCACCTGAGCAGTGCTTGATGGTTCCTGTAGTCTGCAATTTTTTTGGAAATCCGTTCATACTCCCACGCCATTAGAAGGGTGTTCATCCCAAATTGCATAGCTGAAAGTCTGTAGAGATTCTCAGTCATCCAGGTCATGACACTCAGGTGACCCTGAAGACACAGATAAATATCCAAGTGCTTCAAGGACCATCAAAAAGAATGCAAATGACCAGCTGCAGAGTATAAATCCTTCCACTCCCCACCATCCAGTCAGAACTGAAGAAGCTTTTTGGATGAGAAGTGAAACACCTTCTAAGAAAAAACAAGAAAGTCCACTTGCCTCCTGAAAAAGCACTTTTGGGATAACCATGACCTGGATGACTGAGAATCTAGAGAGACTTTTAAATTGACAGGAAGGAAGTTCAAAAGTAATGTTAGAAAATACGACTTCAGAGAGAGTAGTCCAAGCTTGAAACCAACTTCCAGCAGAGATAGTGGGTCAATCATTAGTAATTGAGTTTAAAAGTGCTTGGGATAAAACACACGTCCATCATCCAACAAAAATAAATAAATATATAAATAAATATTAATAAAATATAAAAATGATTATTAAATTAAGAAAGAAAAAATAACTAAAAACCAAATAAACTCAAAAGGCAGACTCGATGGACCACTAGGTATTTTTCTGCCATGAATTTTCTATGTTTGTGTATCATTCAAGATACCTGTAAGCCATAGAAGATATTTGCCTCCACACTAAGCCACCAACATTCGAAAATGAGCATGAACATGAGCATACATAGCTCTCTTGCACTCCACAGAACATGGTTTCATGACAGCTGCTAGGTTTACAAGAGTATTTTTTCTGATATATTAACTTCTGAAATCATTTACTTACTCATCGTCTGGTGTGAGTTGTACAGGTTCATTGGTAAACTGAGAATCAAAGTTATCCAGACCAAATTCTCCAGAAATATTTGGTTTAAATGGAGGAACAACCTGTTTTTGTTCCATCTAGGAATAAAGCGTTCAGCATTAAAATATATTTTTTTATAAATAATGGGTAACATTTTCAAGATTACTGAAGTTTTATCTGATCTTTAATTTTACCATTTCCTTGATTGCCCTACAAATTTTAATTCAGATTCTTACTTAGTATGTTATTACAAAACCTCTAATTTGGACTGAATTTTGAATTTGATTGTGCTTTTGAATTATGCAAATAAGCAATACACTGCAGAATCCATTAAGTCTTAATTTAGAGAAATAGAAATTCCAGAGGGAAGAATATTTTCCATCATTTTCAGAAAAACAAGACTTTTCAGAGAAAGGGAAATGGAAATAATTAAGGAAAAAGCATTACAAATCTAAACTTCAGAAACATAAAATATATCATGTACAATTTTATTTTTCACATGGTTGGTATATTAAAATATTTTCAGCAAAATATCTGATTAGTAAGATTTCAAACACGTGAAAATGTGATATAATAGCTAAAATAGGATCTTATGCTTGTCTTTCAATATGGAGTCTTTTTAGCTTGTTTGGGCAATAGTAAAGTACTCATTTCTGGATTTTAAAAATTGATTTACATTCCCAAGAAATCCTTCAGCTTCCAAGACTTTTAGCCCTTCCTTCTCTGTCCTCTTAAACAAGAACAACAAATTATTCCTTATTTCTAATTTAAACTCTAAAAAGTATTGCTGTCCAACCAACTGTACACTAGGCCCTCTAAGAGTGGGAGATCTAGCAACCCTTTGAAATGTAAACCAGAAAGCCACAAGCAAAGAAAGCATGATAGCAGAAGATCCTCTGGCTTTTTCCTTATTCTCACGACAAGAGTTATATAGTGCACAGATTTCAGAAATGATTTTGAGAAGCCGAACTGTGTTAATCTTTTGTCATAGTTATCTTAGTTTTTAAAGACAGTATTTCTTAATTCTTTTAAAAATCTAAGCAACCTCACATACCAAATTCCTCCCCCTGAATTTGTTGTTACCTCAGATTCTTACATAAAAGATTTGCCTGAATCTTACTGAGTTACAAAAGGCAAATTATATAGGGAAATCTCAAAGCATTTAACAACTTTGTCCTATGGGTATTAGAAACTGACTGATTGAATCAGACTACAAAGATCCACTAGTGGTGTCTGAATGTAGTATTTACAGAGACGCTTACCAGATCCCAATCAACATTGCGAAAAAACGGATGTCCTTGAATGTCTGCAAAACCTGTTTGAGGATGGCATCCTAAACGTTCTTTTGGATCCTACGAATGGAAAAAAATAAGCATATATTTGAATAATAAAAGCTACATGAATACTTTTGAAGTAGATACATAGGAACTCCTGCACAACTACTATGACCGTATCTATTTAGCTTTTAGCAAATCTGTGGCATCACGTTCTTTCACACAGACACTGCCTTGAATGACAAGTTTATTTTTTTGCTATTTTTATGCCAAAGCATGACAGCTGGAACATCTGTATTGTTTAACTGCAGATTAAAGTTATGTCTCAATTATAAGCCTATAAAGGTAAAGGCAAATTCATTTAGTTTACAGTTGCTACCCCATGCCATCTTTGTACTTGCATTTTTATCTAATGTTCCTTTTAAAACAATCTGGAAAAATTACGATTTCTGCAAAGGGGAGATAGCTTTTCATTATCCATTTATAATTACTGCTATAAATGATAGATGTCTGATTTTTTTTATCTTGAGTCTTCTCTTTAAACTATTCACCTTTAATGCTAACACAACAATTAATTACTACTTTATGTAGAAATGGATCAATTTAGGAAATGGTACAAGTATCCAGAGACCTTGAACCTCAATCCTATAAATCTACCTGTATACACTGGCCATTCTCACTTGAACTATTCTGAGATCTCTTCTCTAAAATAGTGTTTTTCTTCCGCACTGAGAAATAGATGATGCTATCAAAATGGTTGTGGAGGCCTCTCTAACCGATTCCTTGCCTAGATAAATAATTAAAAACTAAGATCAAAGACAAATTTCTTCCACTGTCAAGGCATCCAGGAGAGGCAAGCTTTCATTAGAACCCTTCTACTTGACACCATTAAAGACAAATCACCATGCAAGGTCAAGCATCAAATTCAGTTGGGCTCTAAGCAGCCAGAAGAGTTAAAGGTAAAGTCTTAAGTATGTTTGCATTGGGAACAGATTCCACTAGTGGGTTTTGCCTGCAAATAAACCCAGACTAAAATAAAAAGGATGTGGTGGCTCAGTGGCTAAGACGCTGAGCTTGTTGATCGAAAGGTCGGCAGTTCAGTGGTTTGAATCCCTAGTGCCGCATAATGGGCTGAGCTCCCGTTACTTGTCCCAGCTTCTGTCAACCTAGCAGTTCGAAAGCACATAAAAAATGCAAGTAGAAAAATAGGGACCACTTTTGGTGGGAAGACAACAGCGTTCCGTGCGCCTTTGGCATTTAGTCATGCTGGCTACATGACCATGGAGACATCTTCGGATAGCGCTGGCTCTTCGGCTTTGAAATGGAGATAAGCACAGCCCCCTAGAGTCGGGAACAACTAGCACAGTGATGGCTAATCTTTTTGCCATCGTGTGCCAAAAGTGGGGGGAGCGCGGGGAGGGTCGCGCACGTGCATGCCCACACCCATAATTCTATGTGCCCCGCTCCCTGCGCTGCACATGTGACGCCCCCACGTGCTCCTCCCGCTTTTGGCACATGATGGCCTGGTGGGCTCGGTAGGCCCATTTTTTGCTCTCCCCAGGCTCCAGAGCCTTTCTAGGACTTCCAGTGGGACCGGAAGTCGGCAAACAGGCTGTTTCCGGCCTCCGGAGGGCCTCGTGGGGGGGGAGGAAGGCCGTTTTCACTCTCCCCAATTTCCTAGAAAGGCTCCGGAGAGCAAAAAACAGGCCTTCTGGTCCCACTGGAAGTTGGCAAACGGGCCGTTTCCTGCCTCCGGAGGGCTTCCGGGGGGGGAGGCCATTTCTGCCCTCCCCAGGCTCCTAGAAAGGCTCTGGAGCCTGGGGAGAGCAAAAAACGGGCCTTCCCCCCCACACCCAGGTCCTCCAGAGGCAGGAAACAGCCTGTTTCCCTACTTCCGGTGGGCCCAGAAGGCCCGAAAATTAGCTGGCTGACACGCGCATGCGTGCTGGAGCTGAGCTTGCGTGCCCACCAATATGGCTCCGCATGCCACCTGTGGCACACGTGCCATAGGTTCACCAGCACGGAACTAGCACATATGTGCAAGGGGAACCTTTACTTTTACCTTAAAATAAAATATAAACTCCGGGCAAATACTTAATAAGCTGATCTCATAACAAACTGGCTTTGATCATTCTAAAGGCTTCTTTCTCTTTCTTTTTTTTAAATAGTTTTTATTAAGCATTTTTACCTTCTTTCTCAACTTTGTAACTGCAAGGTGTTATTTAACCTCGGAATCTTCAAACTATGTATGGCACAAACTCTCACCTTGTTTAAAAAGCTTTTTAGAACACTTGCTGCTTTCACAGAAAGGGAACGTGGGATACGGATTTGCTTCTCCAGAATAACTAGAAGAAATAATTAAGGATCACTGAAATTTCATAAATTAGCAATCTCAACATATGTCTGAGGACTGAAGTTAAAGTCCCCTTCAAACTGAGTGTAATTTCTGGTGACATCATGAACACAACTTGTAGGGACTTTTCAGCAATAATATGAAAGGGGGGGGTTTCCACTGCCTTCTTTCAAAGAGAATAGTATAATCTTTCCTATCTATTTGTTCTGCTAAACCAGACATTTTTTAATGCCACACAATATCTTTTTATTAATTATTAATTAATTTCTATGTTGATTTCTGTGGAACACAGTTGTTCCCCCCTAGCAACAAATAATTTACTTACATCTCCTGTGGTGTTTTAAGTATATGATGTGATTAAACATATATTTTCAGCAAGCATGAATGGAAATGAAAATCAAAAGGCAAGATCTGCTATACTCTTTCAGTTTTACCATGTAAGTGATTTTTCTTCATTGACTACTAGCCATTTAGAGGTAACTAACCTTGGAAGAGGTAATCTTCTGTATTTTGATCAGGATTATCAGAACTTCCAACAATATCAAACGGAGATCTTCCCGCCATCATTTCAAACATCAGGACACCTAAAGCCCACCAGTCCACACTAAATCCTAAGAGTTAGAGGAAGATAATATAACAAAACTTGATCAGTGGTGGGATTCAAGTAATTTAACAACCGGTTCTCTGCCCTAATGATTTCTTCCAACAATCAGTTTGCCAAACTGCTCAGAAAGTTAACAACCGGTTCTCCCGAAGTGGTGCGAACTGGCTGAATCCCAGCACTGAACTTGATGTTGATTTTAAAAACTGAATTAGTAAGAATTAGCTACAGAAGACTCCACAGAATTTGGCCGAATCAGTTGAAACCATCTTACAAGGGTATTATGAGGAAAAAATAGGAGGAGTCATGTACATTGCTTAGAGTTCCTACTATAAAAGTGAGATATAAACATAATTGATAACTAAAAGCAGGATCAAAACATATTTTTCTGAAACGTATATTTTATTTTCTGACGGCAAGATTAAAATTCAGAGATAGAGTGAATGGTATTGACTGATCAAGGAAAGCGCAACCCTTGCTTGTTTAGGATATTAACTACACATTTTACAAAATAGTAAGAGTTACCATAATCTTCTCCACGTAAAATTTCAGGAGCAATATAATTAGGAGTGCCACAGAAAGTGCTGGTGGTGTCGCCAGGTCTTAATCCTTCCTTTTAAAATAGAAACAAGGAAAAAGTATCTTACACAGTTCAAATATATCTTTTGCTTTCAAATTCATTTTAGGAATATCAAGGAATATAAATTTACATTCTAGCAAGGACAAGACTTAGGATATGGACATTCTGGTTGCTTATTGTAAACAAAAAAGTAAGTCATGCTAACAAATTTCCTAATGATCTGTACTTTAATTTCCTTCTTTTCCAGTATGGACACCTACATCCTTTCAAACTGGAAAAAACAGACTGGAATAAACTTGTATTTTTTAGCCAATAGGAGTATCTATTTGATATTGCTTATGAATAATCTGGTAATGCAAGTTTAAATCGAGATACCTGTAATCTATTAATAAAATAAAATTTGTAACTTGAACCAATCTTCTGAGGCAAAGAGGTGTCAATTAAAACCAAATATATCTAACTGACATAGTAGATGTGACTAATGAAATTGCACAACACTGGACAACAAGATTTTGCTTCCTAAAAACATTTGGATGAATCTTATGGATTTTGAATTGCTAATCATGAAAATAACCTGTAATTTAATCTATCACATAGCATTTTACAGAAATCTTCTGTTTTTACACAATGGCAATGCCCTTTATGACCTGTTGGCTACTACGTACACATAAAACATACAGAAACATGGAGCTGTTGTTGAAGTACATCTACTGTACAACTGGAATGTCTGTGGAGATCTAAAGTTGCAATACATTAAAAAGAAATGGCCATTCATATTTATCAAGATCCCTCCTGATCAGGGTTGGGTTCTAAAAATTTTTACTACTGGTTCTGTGGGCATGGCTTATTTTGTGGGCGTGGCTTGATGGTCATGTGACAAACAATTCTTTAGGATTTAGAAGAGGTACTGGTCTACCAGGCTTTTAACTGCTTTTAGAGCCGTACCGGTCTACCCATTTGTTTTTGGAGGCACCAGTCTACCCATTTGCTTTTAGAGCGCACTGGTCTACCACCACACTGCCTTTTACTGCTGATCAGCTGTAGGGTGGCCCTTTGAAGAGCCAGGGCAAGAGTTTAAACAGTTTTTTGCCGTTCTGCCACCACCGAGAGCATCGGAAACCACTTTCAGGCAGCTTGGCCTCAATTGCCAATCTACCACCACTGAGCGGTATACAAGGAGCAGATTGGTTTTAGCCAATCAGTTGAGAGGCTTCTTGGCTTCTCAATATAAAGCTAAGGTGTCTTTTTTTTTTTTCCCCTCTTCTTTGTCAAGTGAGCCCTGACTTTTTCCTTCTAGCCGATCAGCTGGGACTTGGGAGGCAGCGAATAGATTGGGGCAGGCAGAGGTGGTATTTACCGGTTCTCCAAACTACTCAAAATTTCCCCCACCGGTTCACAAGAACCAGGGAGAACCGGTAGCAACCCACCACTGCTCCTGATAAAGTAATTCTGAAATTATATTTGTGTTCTGTTTGAAGGGTCCTATTATTATCACCAAGTTTTTCTGAAAACCTTTGAAAAAAATCTGTTGTCCAATGTCGACATTTCTACTTCATGTAAACAAATGGCATAAATTGGTATAAATAAAACATTACACAAATGATATAAAAGACACAAATTATGCCAACTATTACCAACTATTGACACCAACCACTGATAACTTTAGGAAAGAAGTCCACAGGAAAAAATTGCATTCTTACCCCATTAAATGAAGCTCCAGAAAACCAAGGTTTTACTGCATTTTAATCATTTTTAAGGTTTTGAAGCTAGCATTTTCTGATCAAAAGGCATCCATCAAGAAATGTTCAGATTTCAATTTGTGGATATTTTGCTTCTCACCTTGCACATGCCATAGTCAGTCAACTTGATATGTCCCTCAGAATCCAGCAAAACATTGTCCAGCTTCAAGTCTCTATAAATTATTCCTCGTTCATGAAGGTAGTTTAAAGCTAAACTGATTTCTGCAGAGTAAAACCTAAAATGAAATCAGCATTTTAAAATACACTTCCAAAAATTTGGATAGATCCCTGCCTACTAAGTCATTTTCCTCAGAAAAATGAAAGAACTTATTCTTTCTTCTCACTGCGCCTTTTTAGGCCATGGCGTCACATTGCTCCTAAACCAGGTATTGGATGGGAAGATCCATGGAATATTTTGAATCAGAAACGGGGCAAGGTTAACATTTGTTTTTTAACTCAAGGTTGCTTAAAACCACCATAAATTTCCCAGTTTTATGCCAGATCAGCTTTTTGCTGAGCTGGATTTAATCCTTTACTACCAGACTCATTGCTAAGCTTCTGTGCCCAAGATTCCTTCTACAGTTCATCTTGCTATTTTTTTTAAGGTTTTGCTTTTTATATGCCGTTATCTGAGGAAGCTGGAAGAAAATGGGTATAATTACTAGTACCAGCCAGACGCCACCATGTTTCAGCTGAGCACCAATAATTGCACAGAGCAGTAGCAGTGGTAATTACTGTTAATTCCACATTAACTGTAATTGTTACTTTTTTTGGCTTTGAATGACAAAAAAAAGTTAAATAGTTTACTATCACTTCTTTAACACTTTTGGAGGCTCTTTGAGGCGGAACTGAATCCACTGGGCCTGGGGCAGGGGTGAAATGCTCCCAGTTCGGACCAGATCGCCCGATCTGGTAGCAATGGTGGCGGGTGGTTTGGAGAACCGGTAGCAAAAATCCCTGCGCCCATATTTTGCTTCTCACCTTGCACATGCCATAGTCAGTCAACTTGATATGTCCCTCAGAATCCAGCAAAACATTGTCCAGCTTCAAGTCTCTATAATTATTCCTCGTTCATGAAGGTAGTTTAAAGCTAAACTGATTTCTGCAGAGTAAAACCTAAAATGAAATCAGCATTTTAAAATACACTTCCAAAAATTTGGATAGATCCCTGCCTACTAAGTCATTTTCCTCAGAAAAATGAAAGAACTTATTCTTTCTTCTCACTGCGCCTTTTTAGGCCATGGCGTCACATTGCTCCTAAACCAGGTATTGGATGGGAAGATCCATGGAATATTTTGAATCAGAAACGGGGCAAGGTTAACATTTGTTTTTTAACTCAAGGTTGCTTAAAACCACCATAAATTTCCCAGTTTTATGCCAGATCAGCTTTTTGCTGAGCTGGATTTAATCCTTTACTACCAGACTCATTGCTAAGCTTCTGTGCCCAAGATTCCTTCTACAGTTCATCTTGCTATTTTTTTTAAGGTTTTGCTTTTTATATGCCGTTATCTGAGGAAGCTGGAAGAAAATGGGTATAATTACTAGTACCAGCCAGACGCCACCATGTTTCAGCTGAGCACCAATAATTGCACAGAGCAGTAGCAGTGGTAATTACTGTTAATTCCACATTAACTGTAATTGTTACTTTTTTTGGCTTTGAATGACAAAAAAAAGTTTAAATAGTTTACTATCACTTCTTTAACACTTTTGGAGGCTCTTTGAGGCGGAACTGAATCCACTGGGCCTGCGGCAGGGGTGAAATGCTCCCGGTTCGGACCAGATCGCCCGATCTGGTAGTGATGGTGGCGGGTGGTTTGGAGAACCGGTAGTAAATATCCCTGCGCCCCCCCCCCCCCCCATGCCCAACTGAGCCACCCGATCATCAGAGGCTGTTTTTTTTTTTACTTTTAAAAGCATTTTTTTCTACCTCTTCGGCAAAAAAAAAATGCTTTTAAAAGTAAAAAAAAGCCTCTGATGATCACGCAGCTCAGCTGGGATTGTCAGAGGCTTTTTAAAAAAATGCTTTGAAAAGCCTGTGACGATCCCAGCTGAGTTTCCTGATCATCAGAGGCTTTTCAAAGCATTTTTTTCTGCAACCTCTTCAGCCAAAGTGGTTGTAGAAAAAAATGCTTTAAAAAAAAAAGTTAGTCACGCCCATCCAGTCACATTACCCTCACCACCAAGCCATATCCACAGAACCGGTAGTAACAAATTTTACATTTCACCACTGGCCTGGGGAAATCAATCTGTGGCTCTTGACAAATTCAAAAAAATATCCTTGGAAAGGCAAGGAAAACTAATCTGGAAAAAAATATGAATATGTAACCAGGAGAGAGAGAGAGAGATTGTTCTCCCTTTCTCAGCCAAGCTGGAAAAAATAAACAGAAGAGGCAGTGCTAGAATCAGAGCTGTTCAACTCCCAGAAAAAGGAGACAAAGAAAACATGCTGATACTCAGGGGGAAAAAACAATAATATGCTGCATTCAAATATATTTGTTTTCTCTAACTAGTCTGAAAAATTCCCATCAAAGAAGCACACACCTGGCATGCTCTTCTGGCAATTTCCTTTGTCGCTGCATGTGGAACATGAGATCTCCTCCATTCACATATTCGATAACGAAAAATAGCCTAAATCACAAAGAGAGATTATGTAATGGATAACTTTCACATATCCAGTTACCATCATTCACCTTCTTCTCACTTATGAATCTTAAGGGATCATAATTCTCACAATATGACTTCTTCACTATTCATTGTAAAATGTATTTATCCTTTACCAACTTGCAATTTTTTTTTCCATATATGATTGTGCTTTATTTATAAATTTCCCTCTTACTTTTTTTTGTTTGTTTGTTTGATAATGATAGAAGATAGGGAGAACACCAAGCATTCCGAAACACCTCAGGACTAATTATTTCCTTTTATTAAGTCTTCCTTAGAGAATTTCAGTGAGAATTTATTCATCACTACCATGTAAGTATGGAAGCAGGACAGCAGATATGAAAATTACTAAAGATTAATTTGTTGCAACCTACTTTTTTGGGCTGTTTTCCACTCTGTTTTACCAAGTTTTCTAATCCTAGTATCAAGAGCTGCATCTGTTCGACATAGGAAGTTGTATTTTCAAAGGGTCATTTACGTGTTACATTATTTTGTTCACATCATCACTCTTGATCAGTTTTTCAACACTCAAAGCCATTTTTTAAACTTTTGTACATAGGTCTACATAATCTATAGCTGAAATTTCCAAATACTATTACCATGTTTCCACGAAAAATAAGATCCTGTCTTATATTTTTTTGAACCCTGAAATAAGCACTTGGCCTTATTGCCATGTGCTCAAAAGCCCGATTGGGCTTATTATCAGGGGATGTCTTATTTTGGGGAAAACAGGATATGTGAAAACAAACTCAAATCTATTCAGAATTCTCATCAAGTCATCCTGTTAGCTTATTATAACACTATAGTCAAATAATATTTTTTCAGAATTTAGATATCCTCCTTCTCCTTAAGGCTATCGAAAGTCTTTTTTGTGAAACTTTTCTCCTCATCTCTCCATCTTGAAAACCCTGTATATGTGTATGTTGCTTTATGTGATAATATTTTAAATTACATAGATGATTTCCTTGTTTGATTATCTTTCTTCTGAAAATCACTTTTGCAAATAAGTAATTATGTAATTATTTTTTAAATGAAAGCAATACTTTATTTTTTTTTTTACAAAAGTATAAACAATCTCTTATAAAAAGAATAGAAAAATATATGCAAAAAACAATCTTATTGCGCAGTTTACCTGCTTTCTGTCTGAAAACATGAGTGAAGACCAACAAGGAAAGGATGATTTGATGCTTGCTCAAAGACATGCTTTTCTGTTTGAACCCAATCAATATCCTGTAACAAATATACAGAGAATACTCTTGTCTTTGCAATATTTCCAGGAAATGCAATTTAAACCTGTTAGCTAAAGTTGATTATTGAACAGGAGTTAAGCAGTGATATCTACTCTTATAATCACAAGGTGGAAAATCATGTACTCTCTATGTCCACAAGCAACAATTGTTCATAAATTCTTAGGGCACCACTGAGGAGTCTAAGGTTTCCAACTTACTTATCAGTGCAAATTCAAGATAAACTTACATTTCCCACAGTTCTTACACTGGGTTTATTCCACTGCATTCCATCACTGTATTCAATCAATTCTCTTGACAGTACATGATGATTTGAAATTTACTAATACATTTATGCATTATTGGGCATATTTAGGTTGAATATATCACAAAATGCAACAAAACTACACTTAAACGTCCAAGATTTCTGACTTCAAACTGTTCCTCTTGTAAAAATTCAGCCTTGTTTACAACATTTCCAGCCTTTTTGTTAATGGAAAAAGTAGCTAAGCATAATAGGAGATCAGAAGTGGAATTCTTCAAGAATCAAAATCTGATCACAAATTTCAGGAAATTATTAACTGTCTAATCTATTGACAGCTTCATTAAACATTTCCCTGGCTTATCCATAATAAATGTTGTAGGTCGAACAATCATTGAATAAACAATCCCCTTTCCAAGAACTATTCCAGCTCCCTGAAGTGGCATAAGGCACCATGTAACAGCCCATTCAAGAAAGAGAAGGTATTCCACTGGATTTGACTGGAATCCAGTCATAGAACAATTTCAGCAGGTAAGGCAGAGGATAAAATTGCGAAAGAGATAATGTGGTATGTAAAAATTAAAAACATTGTTAAGTATCGCTCACCTCATCATCATTAACTAATTCTTTTTTCACAACTTTCATGGCATAAATGCGCTCCGTCTTCTTTAATCGAACTAAAAGTACTTTTGCGTAACTTCCTCTCCCTATAACACGAAGTAAATCGAAATCTTGGAGACCTAGACTGGAAGATACTTTGCCACTTTCTCTACTCTTTGCCTGTAAGTAGAGAAATTCCTTTAATTTAGTGAGGATGCAATGCAGAACCATTCTTATAGCCAACAATTCTTACTACTGATTTGTGGTAAGGTAACCACTTGAAGTGGCACTGCCAATTAAAGGCATTTTCAGTTACGGACTTACAAAGGCACTAACAATTTTAGTAGAAAAGAATTAAGAGTACCTCCTTTTCTTCACCAACGTGGTCTAAACTTTCATGACTTGAAGGATGATAGGGAATCACTAAAAGGAAAAGAAATAAAAAGCTCAGATCACCAGATAAATGCAAATATTTGTAAAAGGCGTGTGTTAAAACTGGACTGGATTGATGCAATTAATCTATATGGCACTGCCCCTGAAGAGTATTTGTAAGTTTCAGTGCGTAATAGCGCAGGGAATTATAGATACCGGTCACTCGGCACCAGGGGTGAAATCCAACATGTTCTGACAGGTTCTGGAGAACAGGTAACGGAAATTTTGAGCAGTTCGGAGAACCGGTAGCAGAAATTTTGAGTAGTTTGGAGAACCAGCAAATGCCACCTCTGGCTGGTCCCAGTGTGGGGTGGGAATGGAGATTTTGCAATATCCTTCCCCTGCCACGCCCACCAAGCCACACCATGCCCACCAAGCTACACCCACAGAACCGGTAGTAAAAAAAATTGGATTTCACCAGTGCTCGGCACATGTGACACTTATGCTCTGCAAGCTGCAATGGCTGCAGGTACAGGTAGCCCTTGTCTTATGACCATAGTTGGAATAGTAATCTCCATAGTTGAGTAAATAAGTTGTTTAGCGAGACGTCACGTGATTGCCCACATGACTGCTTTACTCCAAGACTGCAATCCTGGCACTACCAACTGTGGTTGTTGAACAATTGTACAGGTGATTAAGCAGAGTCACAGGTAAGAAATGTGAGATCCCAGAGGCATGGAAGAGACATCCAAGAAAGGTTTCAGCCCGAGTGAAGATGCACTCATGCATGGCTTGGGTTGGGCCTTCCCCAACCAGCTTTGAGGCCCTTTGCAACCATTACCTTACCACGCTGACTATCTGCTTGGATTTCAGCTCACTTTCATTGCTAGAGGCTGGCTTCAAGAGCTTCCGGTCAAAAGAGTTCAGCTCTTGTTGGTGCACGGAAAGTATCTCCTTTGGCGAGGTGCAGAAATGGTGCCAAAATCTTCAGGATTTCAGCTCCATTTCTGCACCCCACCAAAGGAGTTCAGGTCCCCTCAGGAGGCAGCTCTTTCAAGCCAGTTCCCAGAGATCAGAGGAAGTCCTCTCGGTAAGTGGCAACACCTCACAACCTTTGGTGTTGGTTTCCTCATGACTTTCTGGGTAGCCCAGCAGAGAAGGTTTCAACTTGGGATCCCGTGATCATGAGGCATTTGATAATCAGTTATAAGTGTGAATAGGTTGCCAAGCACGTAGACAGCAATCATATGACGGTGGGGGTGAATGTTGTAATTACCTGGTTCTATATTATCAGAGTGCACTGAGGAATGATCCATAGGCTCCTAAAAAATACATAAATGAAAAGAAAAGGAAAAATGTAAGATCATAATTTTTCAATCACTTGCCATTTCTGAAAAGAGGCAGTGTGTTTATTTTGGGATAAATTTCACTATTTTCCAAGGAAACCCAAAAACATGCAAGAGATCAAGCTGCATGGTCCCTTCATTAGAAATGGTTTAGTTAAAATAAAGTAACCCTATGATAACTTCACTCAAATAGTTCAATGTACATAAAAATGCTTTAACAATGTAGGAAAAATCAAAATCACCCCACAACCAGATTTCAAGCGTTATTTCTTACTAATGTATTCAGTGTACTGCTATACATGTAAACACACATACACTTGAGAGAAGTACAACTATTGGTTTTACTTACCGGTGGTAAAGCATGACGGCCACATTCTATGCTGACAAGTTTATGACATTTTTTATGAACTAGAAGTTTACAATTGATGCATTTATATCCCTGGCGTCCTAATCCCCATATTCGGTCAGTACAGATGGCACAATGAGCTCTCTAGGAAAAAAAAAAGAACATAAATAGTATCTGAATATCAGTTCTCAATCTTGAATTGCACTTAATTCCTATTCTCTGCTTTACTTGTAAATTATTACATAGGAAACACACCAATAGTCTACTTTATTACTCCTAATATTTGTTCTTCATTAAGTGTTGTTTTTAGTTAATTTTCTGCTTTTTTTCCAGGTTTTCTTTATATTCTGAAGCTGTGCTAAACATCCTATATTCTACAAGCGCTTATTTTCTATTATTTTTTTAATGTTTGCAAAAGTATCAATAGCTTCCCCAATTATATCTATATATAATATATATGGTATATGGTACCAAACATAATGTAGAATATATGTTTGGTATCATATATTCATATAGTATTTTAACCTATAGCTGGCTTAACAGTAGGGTTTTAAAATATATATATATTTTTTGTAAATATTTTTTTTTTTCAAACTTAAACATAAAATATAACTTTCAAGAGCAGAGTCTCGATCTGGTCCATAGATGGTTATCACGCTTACATTTCTTTAACAAGCTCCATTCACAATTTCCCATTACAGCTTTTACAAATAAAAATTCAAAACATAAAAGAACAAGTTTTAACATAAATTCTAACATCTTCATCTAAACAAATCCATTATATCAATACAATTTTAATTTCAAATTAACTTTCACTCATTTTTATATCTATATATCAATCTTAATTATATCTTGTTCTTCTTCACCTTATATCTTTTACCATCAGCATCAAAAAAAATTTTTTAACAATATTTTAACTTCTTATTCTAATCATTTACCCTACAATTTTATCACCACAAATCTTAATTTCAAATTCCATACCACTCCATTTTATTACACTTTATAAGACAAAGTTCTATCTAATTCTTAATCTCTTGACCCTTTCCTCGATTCTTAATATCTTAAACTTTATCACTTTATCTTTGATTTTATCCCACTTATCATCTATTACACTTTTCATGTTACACAGATTTATCACAAGAACATGTTTTATTTAGTCTAATTTCCAGCATATTTTCTTCCATACCTCCCTCTATTATTTGGTTATTATCCAACGTATTCTGTTTGGCTGATTCCCAGCATATTCTTCTCCAGAGCACCAACTATTTTTGGCTAATTTCAATATAGTCTCCTCCAAGCCTACCACCGTTATTGGCTGATTTCCAGCATATTTTATCTGGCTGATTTCCAGCATAGTCTCCTCCTATACTCCCTCCATTGTTTGGCTGATTTCCAGCATATTCTCCTCCAACTCTCCTCCTGTTTGTTTGGCTGATTTCCAGCATTTTATTGGCTGATTTCCAGCATATTATGTTTGGCTGATTTCCAGCATAGTCTCCTCCAGGACTCCCACTCTTGTTTGGCTGATTTCCAGCATAGTTTCCTCCAACTCTCCTATAATTGTTTGGCTGATTTCCAGCATTTTAACTAGTTTCCAACATATTTCCTCCAAGTCTCAAACTCTTATTTAGTTGGTATCCATCCCTCTTATTTTAACTTCCTCTTAGCATATAATTATCTATTTTATGTCAGTTTCTAGCGCAGTCTTTCAAATTAATTCTCAATATATTTCATAATAATCATCATTTCCAGCATATATTAAATTAAATCACAATTTGTTGCTAATATCTGTGTGTCTGATAGTTTGTTCAATAAAACCTTAATCCAACATAATCATCAATCTAACATTTGTTTGCAAATTAAAATTAAAACATATTACATCAAGCAGTAAATTTTTCTTAAAGTTGTCTCACAGTAATATATACTCTTCTTTATTGTTTTAACCACCTGTATATCATCCTCTATTTTAATTGCCATCTCTTATTTTCTATTTTTATTACTCCAGAAACCTTTCTGTTTTTATCCAAAAATCATGTATACCTTTAGGCTTTTAATCTTTACATTTCAGTTTAGTTACATTTAAAATTTATTACTTTATTTCCTCCTTTTCTTCCTTTTTCTATCTGTCCATAAATGTTCCATTTCAAAGTTCATCTGTTCAAGTTAAAAAATTCTGTATGTTCCTTTAATGCTTTTATAACGTCTGTTCCATGTGTAATGCATCAACTTCCTGTCTTTTTTTCCTGCGCCACACCTAATTTTTTTTGCCAAGCTTGTTAATTTCCATTGTCAAATGTCCAAAATATTCCTTCTTTCTTCTTAAAATTATCTGGGACAGAATAGAAATCTCCAAAGACAATAGATCTAATGTTAATTTCAAAGTAATCCAAAGTAAAAAGCCATTTAAAATGTTTTTTTCAAACGGAAAGAAAAATATCTTCAATCCACTTTCCTGCTTAGTCACCACAGACTCCATGGCAATTTTGTAGCCATCCGTCTGTCTGTCTTCATTAGCTTCGTTAACTTTCAAAGGTGTAAACTCCCAAAGAGACATTTCTCCAGTCCGTTCCAAATAAAAGCAAAGTCAATTTACTGAGTTGTTAAAAGCCAATTCTTCCAAGCCAAATTTAATAAAACAAAGTCTATTTCAGGTCTTCATTTCCATTTTTTTTTTCCTTTCCAATCTTCAAGCCCCACGGCTCTGTAGCCGCTATTTGAAGTTTGGGGTCTTTTTTTAAAAAATCCAAATATATGTGTTGTTCTGCCTGGGTTGGTGTCACTCACCCGGCTTCGAGATACTCGCTCTCTATTCTTCTCCGCTTCTCCTCCTCTCCTCCAGCACGATCTTTGTTCCCAATTGCCACAGTTTCGGGACAGCCGTCATGGCTGTCGTTCCACTGCCGCTGGTGTGAAGGGAAAGCCTCCGGCCCCGAGGAACCTGCCCGTTCCTCTCAGCCGCCCAAGGGGTCCCTTCTTGTCCCCCTGTCCCTGCAAGACAGGGGAGGTCCGCAGACCTGTCGGCGGCAGCTTAGCAGACGGGCTTTTGGCGAAGCTCTGCAGAGCTCGCCATTTCCCTGTCTGTGTCCCTGCGACGCCAACCGGAAGTCCTCGGGTTTTAAAATATTTATTGATCATTTCTAAAAGAATAAAGGGGGATGATGTGATTGAACAAGCAAAAGGAGAAAAAGAAAAATTGCTGATACATAAATCTAGTATCAGTAAGTGGACAAAGGAATTACTGAAATTGCATAGTTAATACTTAGTGTATTGTTGATGAAAAATTAATCATTAAAAAGTACATTAAATTATTTTAACAATATGAGAAAGGACAATTTGTTGAATGAACCACAATGTCAGATTTACACATTCATTACTGTCATAATCATATACAACAATGACTATGTTTTTAACACCATGATAAACAAACAGACAAACAAAACGGAGTATAGTTTAGAAATATGTTTACATAATTTAATTTCCAGACGGACAGCAATGTTTAATGCATTGCATCAAAACCAAAAAGACTTGCAGGATTTAAAAGATTATGGCATAAACTTAAAACTTGGTCCAGACAAGTTTTTTTCAACTTGTAAAACAATATCATTTTCCTTTTCTTGAGGAGATCACGAGACTTCACTCTGGCTTCAATTATGTCAAACTGTGTATTTGGCAACTGAAAGCTATTCAAAATAATTCCCACAATATTGTTTTGAGAAAAAAGACTGGGATTTATCTTCGCAGTTTATGTAGTTGTGGCTTTTCCATGTTGGTTAACAGATTGAGCTGACTATCAAGAAGCCCTGGTTTTCAATCTCTGAAACAGTTTTCTAACTTCTAGGTGTGTAACAAACTTTTTTTTTTAAAAAATGCAAATATTTAGGATAACAGTGTTTATCCATACATCCTTCTTCTTTGTGGTGGTGGATAACAATACTAATAACCTTTATTAAGAAGGCTATACTCGTTCTACATTTAGAAAAACAATGACTCTCAATATTAATTTCTCTGAATGTGACAGTTTAATTCTCTGCCCTCATATGCTTTCATATGCACCTAGATGATGGAATATTCTCAGAATAGGATGAAAGGCTAGAAAAATTCTTTTGTTTGATCCAAAGTGGGTCTTCTTAAAATAAAGTTTTGGATTATTGCAATGCTCTCTACATAGGGCTGTCCTTGAAGACCACCCAGAAACTTCAACTGACCCAGAATACCACAGGGCACCCAATAATGGGGGCTATAGGTTTGTCCATATACTGCCTCTGTTGCACAAAATGCACTGGCTTCCAGTTTCTTTTCTGGTACAGTTCAAGGTGCTGGTCATCACCTTTAAAGGCCTAGATGGCATAGGGCCAGGCTTCCTGCAGGACGGCCTTTCTCTAAGGCAGGGGTCTGCAACCTTAAACACTCAAAGAGCCATTTGGACCTGTTTCCCACAGAAAAGAACTCACTGGGAGCCACAAAACCTGGGTGGGCGTGGCCAACTTGACATCACTCATTCCCAGCCAGTCACATGACACACAAACCAGCCACACTTACCCAGGTTTTGTGCCTTCTGGTGTTACCTTAGGTAATCGCCCTTACCTTCTTAGGCCAGGCGAGGACTGACTGGGAGGGGAGGGTGAGGGGCAGGGCCAGCCAGTGGTGGGTTCAGCGGACAGGGAGCCACAGCAGGATGAAAGAGCCACATGCGGCTCCAGAGCCGCAGGTTGCAGACACCTGCTCTAAGGACATCTACCTATCCTACCAGTTCAGATAGAGTGGACAGGCTCCTGGTCCCTTCTCTTAAGTGCTACTGTCTTAAAGGACCTAGCAAAAAGTGACTTTTTCTATGGCAGCCCCTGCCCTATGGGAAACTCTGCCCCCTGACGTTCAGCAGGCCTCTATCCTCCATGCCTTTCATAAAGCTTTTCCCCAAGCCCTAGGACAGTGATGGTGAACGTTTTCGGCACTGAGTGCCAAAAAGGTCGCACGGAAACGTCACGAGTGCACTCGCTCGTCAGGGCTGTGCTCTGGAAAAGCCAAACCTCCGGGTTCTAGCGGGCATGCACGCCCGACGATCAGCTGGCTGGCACACATGCCCAGGCTGGTTTCCGGCACTGCCACATGCGTGAAGGGATCACGCTCCAGAAAAGCCGAACTCCCAGGTTTCTAGCACACATGCGCACCCGACAATCAGCTGGCCAGTGCGCATGCACACACCTGTTTTCAGCACTGCCACGCGCCTGAAGGACAGTTGATCGTCACGTGTGCATGTTTCCAGAAATCCGGAAGACAAACAGGCAAGGCCGTGCATGCCAGGCAACATGGCTTCACGTGTCACTTTGGGCACGCATGCCATAGGTTTGCCATCATGGCCCTAGGATAAGATTGGATAATTACACATTACAAAGTTGACTTAGCACCAGGTCTTCATTGTTTTTAGTATTTTAATTTACCTTTATAGTTTTAATAAGGTTTTTTATATACTGTTTTAAATTTTGATTGGGAGCTGCCCATAGTTGGTTAAAAGATGGACAACTAGATAAATGCTTTAAATAAACAAATAAATCTCCAATTAATCAGAGTTTGCCGTAATGTTCCAAAGCAGGAAGTTATGGTTCCCAGCTTATGATGTTCAAGTATATGTTCAATTCATTTGACTATTATGTTTTTTAATTGAGCTGATAACTATGCTATAGATAAATTTTTAAAAAAATATTACTAAAATCTTCCTGATTTGCTTGCTCATGTTGCAAAGGTGGAGCAAATAGCATGAACAATGAAGCAACCCACATGCCATCACTCTACATGAAGCAGTTTGATACTTCCAAAGCATTGTATATTTTTTAGTTGTTACAATCCTTCATGGCAGATCTGGGCGTTTTACGGCCCCTGGGCCACATCTGGCCCTTTGGCTGTCCCTATCCAGCCCACTTGAGATCAACCGGAAATTAGAAATCAAATGTAAATAAGATGTGGCATGTATTCTTAGCAGTAGCAGCTAATCAAAACCATGTAATTTTCTGCTTTTTATAAAAGTGATAAAATTAACAGTGAGCAGAATTAAGTTCAGCCTGTTGGTTGGCCCTCCACAACAGTTCCAGTTTCTCATGTGGCCTATTGAGAAAATTAATTTCCCACCCGTTTTGTGGTTTACAGCTGTTAAGGATGACTATAAGCTATACAATAATCATGGTATATGTGTACAGACCAGTGGACGATTAGATTCTTTAATTCTGCAGAAATACTTGCAAGGTATTTCTTCCCTTTTAAGGATGTAGAAGTAATGCCATTGGTTGAAAATCAAAAGGTTATCAAAAATAAAAATTCTTATTGATAAAATTGTATTATAGTGAATGTAAATAAATTCTGGGTTAAAAGCTGATAAAGTAAATTTGAAGTCTATTTTCTTAGCATCAGTACTTAAATAAAAGGAAATAGTTATCTGACACCACAAAAGATCAAAGTCCAATTTTGAAAAGTGAAAACCGCAATGAAATTTATTAGCACTTAACTTACTCTGTTAAAACGCTTGGCTTGAAACGTATGACCATTTGCACAATAGAGCTTTCTCCATCTCCGTGCACCCCTACGATAAATAGATTCTAAGGAAAAATAAATAAATTAAGTTAAACTAGTAATTATGACAAAACAGACAAAGCTGTACATTTCATCACTATCTTCTAATTAAGCAGAGCCCTTGTTCAAGAACTGCCTAAATCAAGCTTCTATGTACAGATTTCACAAAGACTGAATAAGCAAATAAGAACAATTTACATATAATACTAAGAAACAAGAGAACAGACATATTGAAAACTAACAGTGTCCTCATTAACATGGGCTTTTCCTGGTTTTCATATATTAAAAAAGTTAAAGCTAGCTTAAAAGGCTCAGATAATATTTTAAGATGTTTTTTCTCTCTTTTTTTACAACTGTAATCTCTTGATTCGGGTTGGGGTTGGGGCGACTGAATGGAGCTGAGCTTTTCCTGGCCAGATGCCTCCTGACGCCTACGTGGAGTTCGCAGCAGATATTTTCTCTTTGCACCCTGATAGAGAAACTTCTGTCGCTGCCTAGGATTGAACTTTCAACCTTCCAAGTAGGAGGCGAGAGTCTTCACCTCTAGGCCATGGCACCATTCAGATAATATTTTAGGAGATTATCTTGGCAGAAAAGCAAGTAGGCTTTGGATCAGGTCCATCCACTCTATACATCAGTTAATACTTTAATCATCTGATTCAAAAACAATAACCTAAAACAGGTTTGTACACTACCTTCTGTGATTTTAAGCAGGATTTCCACCTAATATCTAGGAAAATCTTTACTGCAGAAACCCAAAGTCACAATACCAGTCTCATGGGAAAGTGTAACTTAATATGGTATCTCTTCGAACTGGAAACTAAGTTAAACAAGAATGCATCCTTATCCCATTATTATTCTATTTTACACCAAGAGTGAGGTATTTATCCATAGAGAAACTCCTCCTCAAATTAGCTAATCTCCACCCCCATAACAACACTGGTATATAGAAGATGCAGTAGTTGCATGGTAGACCTCAGGAGGTCTAAAGGAGGGGTGTCCAATCCTGGCCATTATAAGACCTGTGGACTTCAACTCCCAGAATTCACCAGCCACTAGCAAATACAATAGCTCATTTCTAATGCTTTTTTCTATCTGCTTTCTGAAATGGGTGCATTTAAAAGCACTGAAATTCCTCAATTGTAAATAGGCCAGAGCTATTTTATAAATACAAGCTGTTGCTTTTTATAGGAAAAATAATTCTCTCCTATCTCAATGTATCACTCAGAATTGTACTAAAGCCTGAAAATAGATGTAATATGAAATTCAGTTTTTCTGTTGGATTTGGGGGGAAATATTTATATTTTAGGTCTTCTATGGCGAACCCATTATGGACTATTGGTAGTCCTTATGACCACAATTCAGACTGGAATTTTGCTCTGTGGTCATACCAATGTGAGACACCAATATGTTTGACTGTTCTTACAGTGCTCATTCAGTGAATCATGCAGTCATTAAACCCAAATCATGCAATTTTAAGTCCGAATCCCATAGTTATTAGGCAAATCACTCGTTTGTTAAGCAAATCCATACTCCCAAATGGGCATTCTTTGCCAGAAACCGACAAAATGTATAGCAAATCACATAAATGCAAGCTGATTGCCAAGCAGCAAAATGCAGTCATGTGACCGCAGATACGTTTGCGCTTTGCGTGACATTTTACAATGGCCACTGTAAATTCGAACAGTCATAAGTTGAGGAATACCTGTTTTCTTTTTTTGTTTGATCCACTTCTTTTATTTCCATTTAAAATAAGTAGTTTCAATTTATAAAAATAATGCTGTCATATATTCCATTTACAAAGTCTATATCATAGCATCAATTTAAATGGTATGGCTGTGTTACTTATTAACTTTAATATACTTACTATCTTCCCCTGGACAGGGCATTCCCGGCCTTTCTGGTACACAAGGAAATACTAGAAAGGAAAGTAGTAATAGTAGATTAGTCATTAATTCAAAGATGTCAGAAGCAACAATAATAGCATACAGTTAGATTTATATACCAGCTCATAGTGCTTTACAGCCCTCTCTAAGCAGTTTACAGAGACAACATATCACCCCCAACAATCTGGGTCCTCATTTTACCAACCTTGGAAGGATGGAAGGCTGAGTCAACCTTGAGCCTGTCAAGATCAAACTCCTGGCAGTGGGCAGAAACAGCATGCACTAATTCATTCTAACTGCTGCGCCAGCACAGCTCAGGGTTTGATGCATCATTAAAGAGGATGAAAGATGCATGATTTGTGAGATGATTTATGTAACTATGTTTTAACCTAAATCAGTTTTTCCCCTTAGAGCAGGCCTATCAAACTGGTGGCGCACGGGTCGGATATGTCACGCACAGGTCATGCCTACCCTGGCTCTGCAAAGGCAAAACATGTTGCGATACGTCACGATCCAGCCCGTGATGCGATTGAGTTTGACACCTGTGCCTTAGAGGGAACTGAAAAATCACCTGAAAACTAATTTAAAATTTTACAGTATCTAGAATTACATCGTTCTAGTATCATACTGTGTTTCCTGGAACCCCAAGGTTCTGTGAGAATCATCCAAGGGTTCAACATGACAATTTCTGTTCACGCTGTGTGAAATGTATTATTGTAACATTTTGCTTAATAAAATGTATTATAGGAAATGATTTATCAGTGGATTATACACTGATTGTACACTGATTTTTCACACTGAAAAGGGTTCCTCAGGTATCTCAAGTTTGAAGACCATTGCTCTAGACCAAGAATGGACAATTAATTTTCCCAAGAGGTCACATGAGTAACTGGGATAGTTGTGGAGAGACGAACCAATAAGGCTATAAAGATGCATAGGCATTCATTCACCCACATACATATTCATGCACGCATTCACATACTATATTTTTTAAAAAGTCATCAAATAAAAGCATTCCATGTGGGCTGGACAGGGATAGCCAAAGGGCCAGATGTGGCCCAGGGGATGTAAAATACCTAGGTCTGCTCTAGACCATAATATATACAATGCAACATGTCAAGTAGCAATCTCCAGTATTCTTTTTAAAGAATCTATTTGAGTTATTTTATGAGTTCATCCAATAAAATCAGTAATCACAGTAGCGTTAAGGAATTGCACAGATTGTTCTGTCTACTACCAACCGATTACAAAGATGAATAAAATCTAGAATTATTGCTAAAGAGAAAACGGTTTCAAGCATCTTCACTTTGTTGAATCACTTTCTATTCAGGAAAGAATTATCTACCTGTTCCACAATATTCACCTCTATCTCTCTAATCTTTGGAGAGACACAGGTGGAAGAATGAGATTATACCATGTTACCATGTATTAGAAGTTCAGAATCCTTATTTAATTCATATAGACGAAAAGCCTCTTCCAGTTCCAGCTGGGAAGAAACAGTACATGGATCTCCTTAAAAAAAAAAGAGGCAATTCAAGTTTAGTTATTTTTACTTAACCACATATATACCCTGCCACAATCCAGACTGCCAGATGCTTTCGTCATACAAGTAAATTTAAATCAAGATGTTTTTTTAAAAAATTTTTTTCCAGAAACATATAGCCACAGATGAGCATAATTTCCATCAATATACTTTCTTTAAAGTTCTCACTCTTGCCATTTCATAGGGTAACTGCACAACTTAAACAAGGAAACTGATGAAGTATTTATTTTAGAAACATTGTTCTTCAATACTAGATCTGTTATTGCAATACACACCCTTATTTCTGAATAAAATAAATGTGCACCAACCTGTTGCTACAATTGTATTTGTTTTATAAATTGATTAGTGTGTCAGACTGGATATTTCTATGAGAGCGTCTCATGACAGCACTATTTTTTATTTAGGAAGTTTTTAGGTTCTAGATTCTCAGAGCTATATTAATGCTTCCGTTTTATCAGTTTCACAAGATGGGCATGGAATTATGAATGAAAAATCCGTCAAAAAGATCATGATTCATTCTTCAATGGTCAGCAATCTCTCTTGCCAGCAACCCTTCTTCTCAGGAATATTTACCACATGGTAAGTACTGGTGATGAACTTTTAATTCTGTTTTTCTCCACAGTCTCTGACCATTTTTGAACTTAAATCTTTCTCTGGCCGCTTCCCCTCTTATGCCACATTCAGACCTGTTGTCCTTGGAAAGTTAGCCTTCCAAAAGATGGACCTAATCCTAAATCTCTTTCCCTAATTCATTTCTGACTTGGGAAGAAATCATACAACATAACCCTTTCAGAACATTTAGAGATTTTTTAAATTAATGTATCATTTTAATTTTGCACATTAAACTGACTTTTTGAATTTTCAGTATTTTTTTCGGTCTTTATTCCTTAATTTTTAAGAATAGTTTGTCATATTTTTCTGAAACAGTATTTGAAGCATATATTTCTTCTTCATAATAATTACTTTCTTGCACTTTTTCTCCTCACCATTTTCTAACAACAATGTCTTACATCTTATTCTCTGGAGTGCTGGGGCTACCAGCTGTAATTTGAACAAGCAGAACTTATGGTCCTCGGAGTTCTGCCTATCACAGCATTCCAGCAGTCATATGATGCGAACCAGGCACCCAGTACAGTTACGACATTCCAGAAGGTTGCCATTTGCAACCTTCGCTGCTGGCTTCTGGGAAACATGAGTCTATGAGGAAGCCAGCAGGAGGCCCTTATCACTAAGTGTTGTATCTTATGAGTCATGATGAATGTATTTATGATGACTATGATCATGATTTTTCATTTATATCTTTTATGTACACTGAGAGCTTATGCAGCAACGACAAATTCCTTGTGTGTCCAATCACACTTGGCCAATAAAGAATCCAATCCAATCCTATCCTATCCTATCCTATCCTACCCTACCCTATCCCTATCCCTATCCCTATCCCATCCTAACCTATCCTAGGCAACCACAAGCCCTTGCACTTAACTCTGCAGGATTCACTTAACAATGGCAACCAAAAGTACCAGGACTGCCATTACTAAGTAGTGCAGTTACACAATGTTATGCTTTGCAACCGTTGCTTAGTGTAGTGGTTCTCAACCTGTGGTCTGCAGACCCCTGGAGAAGGCAATGTCATTACAGGGAGTCCACGAAGGCTTGAAGAAATGCTTTGATTTAAATCCTGAGTTAAGTGTCTATGGAGATTCTCAGCCCTCCAGGTCATGGTTGTCCCAAAGGTGTTTTTTTCAAGAGGTAACTTCCTTGTTTTTCTTTGAAAACGTTTTGCTTCTCATCCAAGAAGCTTCTTCAGCTCTGACTAGATGGCGGGGAGTGAGTTAAGTCTTGAGGTTAACTCTTGAGTTAAACCTTGGGGGGTCAGTGCCATGGTCCAGGGCTACAAAAGGTATTTAAAAAGGGATCATTGGTGAAGAAAAGGTTGAGAACCACTGTCTTAGTGATTAAAATTCCAGCCCAAATTGCCATTGTTAAGAGCTACCTTAGGTTTATATGGCTGCCTAATTTGCAAAAAGCAATTCGCAGTAACTTACAGTGTGAAGAAAGATGAAAATAAGTTGTTTTTTTTTTAAAAAAAGGATGTATAAAATAATTTTTAAAAATACAATAGAGTCATTGTCGTAACCATAACAACAAAAACAATTGATGCCAACCAAAACATTCAAGGGGTTTACATTTTACAAAGGTACATCCCATGGCTTGGCTCAAAGAGGAGGAGTTAACCCTTTAGGGCCTTGAGGAAGGACAGAAAGATAAATGTCCTCTGAACCTCGGTGGTAATGAAGTTCCCCAGAGCAGACACTGACACAAAGAAGTCCACAAGTCTCACAACGTAATATTGTTGCCTAAAGTGGGCATGCATCTAAAGCAGGGGTCTCCAACCTTGGCAACTTTAAGACTTGTGGACTTCAACTCCCAGAGTTCCTCAGCCAGCAAAGCTCTGGGAGTTGAAGTCCACAAGTCTTAAAGCTGCCAAGGTTGGAGACCCCTGATCTAAAGCTCTGCCAGATTTCATGGGCTAAGCAGAAACAAATCAAATAGTTTGTGGATGTTAAACATTTTATTTCCTTTGTTTACTTTGGGTGTTAGTGGTATTTTTTGTTTGTTTGTTTGTTTGTTTGATGAGTGTAGGCCTATACCTTGAGTCCTTCCTTCCAATGTATCCAAATGGCTCCTGCGTTTAAACAAGCATTTGGACATTCATTTGAAAGACATTTACCACAAAATTCAAGGATTACATTTCCTTCTTTGCACCCCTTAAAAAGGCCAGCTAATGCATGCACTGAAGCACCTAACATAATTAATTGCAGATTTTTTGTTTTTTTTAAAAAAAGAACTTTTATTAGGACTTGTTTAGAGAACCTGTTCTTCTTCAAGCAGGACTACAGAGCAATTTAAAAAAAAATACAGTGCTAATACAAGAAGCATGTTCTCAAATATGCCTTGAGGGCATTTAATGCCTATAATCTTCCTGGAATTAATGTTTATTTTCTTTAACAATACTTCTATGCATGCCAAAGTTTAAAACTTTCCTGTTCTATCTAACCATCGTCACAAAGTCCTCCCTGCTATCATCATGTAAGTAGCTGGAAAAAGGGTTAAATACTGAAATAGCTAAAACTGGATTTCTAACTCTATAATATATTCATTATATTCATTGAATATAATGAATCATGGTCAATAGACAAAAAAAAAATGCAGATCTAGAATTAGATTGCTGTAAGTGGCCAGCAGGCTACTGATTCCTACCTGTATCTCACCATACCTTTTAAACAATTAAATATAGTACAGGTAGTCCTTGACTTACAACCATAACGGAGCCCAAAATTTCCATTGCTAAGCAAGATAGTTGTTAAGTGAATTTTGCCCCATTTTACGACCTTTCTTGCCACAGTTTTTAAGCAAATCGCTGTACATCTTAAATAAGTAACACGATTGTTTAATGAATCTGGCTTCCCCATTGACTTTGCTTGTCAGAAGGTTGCAAAAGAGGATCATATGACCTTGGGACACTGCAACCGTCATAAAGATGAACCAGTTGCCAAAAAAAAATCTAAATTCTGATCACATGACAATGGGGATGCTGCAACAGAAGTGTGAAAAATTTCACTTTTTTCAATGCTTCAAATGCATTGTTAATGCTTTTAACTTCAAATGGTCACTAAATGAATGGTTGTAAGTCAAGGACTATGAATATTATTCACTTTTAAGATTCCCTCTCCAGTATTCTGAACTAAGATTAAATATCAGGAAGTTTACGCTGCAGGTCACTTGGAATGAAATACAATAAAGAACTTGTCTTGCCACTTTCCAGTTCAATAATTTTATTTGCATCTCTTTCCACAGTTAATGCCTGATTATTTTTACTCAACTGAACTTGACCAGCTATGTGAGCTAGTACTTTTGGAGTTTTTGGCCAGTCTGCAGGACAATCTTTTCTCTATGAATCAACTGGAAATGTAATAAGACGCAGTCAAAAGCATTTGAGAGGAACAAGAGACATATAAATTTCCACATGTTCTAAAACAATTACTGTATTCTTTTTCAATATATTTCCCACATTATTTGAAAGTAAACTAAAGCAGGATAAGCAAATTAACTATGTATGAAACAGGGAAGCCTAAATTCTAATATTCTTTTCTCATTTTTCATTTCAAACATAAAAAAACAGTTATCCGTACAACCGTAATGAAACCTAAAGCAATGCAAATATCATTTGATAACCCCGATGCTATTATAAATTTGTATCTAGAGTCAAGACCAAAACCACAAAACCAGAAAGTGCCTCTGTGGCTTTTTACAGCGCTGCAAAAAGTTACAGAGGCACTTGATGGAGCATGCTAATAATTTATGAAATAGTTTTATTTTGTACTAACTTACCTTCTTCGTCAATCCATTTCATAGTAAATAACTGTTCATTATCGAAGGCGCACATGTCTCGAACTTCATTACATAGTCCCTCAAAGGAGATAGAAGGCTCAAAATAAGTTATCATAATGTCCCTGAAAAGAATACAATGAATAGACTATTAATTCAGAACTGAACATCCATCTGTCATTGTATCTATTTTATTTACTTCTAATTGATCAATTTACATGCAACTGCCTGTATATTCAAAACAACTTCATGCCAATTTAAATGTGCATGAGCCCCTACTTTCTCTAGAAACAAAATGTATATAAGATTTATTTATCCATTCCTACTATATATCTCCAAATCCAAGCAGACATGTGGTAGTTTAGAAAACAATCATCAAAAACATGGATAACAGTTAAATCTTCCATGGTAAACACGAATATGTCAAAACAACTAATGACTAACCAAAGCCTCAATAATATAGGTAGTCCTCGACTTACAACCATTCGTTTAGTGACCGGTTACAACAGCACAGAAAAGTGGCTTAGGACCATTTTTCACGCTTATGTGAAAACCATTGCAACATCCTCAGGGTCACATGATCAAAATTCAGTTGCTTGGCAACTATATATAAATATAGCTAATACATATAAATACATTAAATAAATAAATAAATAAACAAACAAACAAACAAACAAACAAACAGGTTCATATTTATGATGGTTGCGGTATCCCAGAGTCACCGTTTGCAACCCTCTGACAAGCAAAGTCAATGAGGAAACCAGATTCATTTAACAACCTTTTTGCTAACCGAGCAACTACAGGGATTCACTTAACAATGGTGGCCAAACTCACTTAACTGTCTCGCTTAGCAATAGAAATTTTGGGCTCCATTGGGATCATAAGTCGAAGACTGCCAGTACAAGAATAAATTACAGTGCGGCTGAAAATGAAAAATATGTAAAATGACTTTGAATCAAACAATAACAGGAATTAAATATGCTAATTCAAAGGAAAATATAATGACAACAAACTACAGGTAGTCTTTGATTTATCACCACAATTGAGCCCAGAATTTATGTTGCTAAGTGAGAAATTTGTTAAGTGAGTTTTGTCCCACTTTACGACTTGTCTTGTCAAGTTTAAGGGGATTGTTACAGTTGTTAAATTAGTAACACAGTTGTTAAATGAATCTGGCTTCCCCATTGATTTTGCTTGTCAGGTGGTCACAAACGATGATCCAGGGACACTGCAACTGTCATAAATATGAACCAGCTGTCAAGTATCTGAATGTAAATCATGTGACCGTATAGATGCTACAACGGTCATAAGTGTGAAAAAACTTTTTTCCAGTGCCATTGTAACTTCGAACGGCCACTAAATGAACTGTTGTAAGTTTGTTTTTGGTTTTTTTTTGCAAAACTTCTGTCTTCAGTCATTTTTGGATTGTTAAAAGAAATGGAGGAGCAGTCTTTAGAGATTCTCAGTCATCCAGGTCATGGTTGTCCCAAAGGTGCTTTTTCAGGAGACAACTGGGCTTTTCTTCTTTTTTCTTTGCTGTCCGCAAGGAATATAAATCATTCCATTTCCCACTATCCTATCAGAGCTGAAGAAGCTTCTTGGATGAGAAGCGAAACGTCTTCAAAGAAAAAACAAAAGTCCAGTTGCCTCTTGAAAAAGCACCTTTGGGACAAAATGGAGCCAGCCTTAATTCTATAGGCCAAGGAGAGAAAAGCAACCAGGAAACAATTCCTGGTCTTTGTTCCTCTCTCTTCGTGAAAGTGGGCATGACCAAAAGCTCTTTCTAGGAAGTATTTATTGGACAGGCTAAAAGGTGGATTCTGCAAGTACCTAAGAGCAGGGCCGTAAGGGATTGAGACCAAAAACAGCACTCTGCTTTGCCTAGGGAACTCTACAAACAACCAGAACAGGGACTGAGAGGCAAATTATGGCTCTTGGTTGGCTAACATTGGCCACTAACAAAGTCACACTGCCTTTTGCATTAATCGCTGCATCCAGGGCGGTTTCAAAGGCAACCCAGGGGTGAAATCCAGCAGGTTCTGTCCGGTTCTGGAGAACCGGTAGTGGAAATGTTGAATATTTCAGAGAACCGGCAAATACCACCTCTGACTGGCCCCAGAGTGGGGAGGGAATGGGGATTTTGTAGTATCCTTCTCCTGGAGTGGGGTGGGAATGGAGATTTTGCCATATCCTTCCCCTGCCATGCCCACCAAGCCACGCCCACAGAACCGGTAGTAAAAAAATTTGGATTTCACCACTGAGGCAACCCCGTACAAAATGCACTGCAGTAATCTAATAAAAGTGACGAAAGCGTTATTCCCATTGTGATTACGTTGTTAAAGAGTTTTTTTTTAAAAAAAACAAGGGCATAATAAGAGTTTAGAAATATTTTTAAAATAGGCCACTCCTCAATGAATTCTTCTGGCTAGGACTCTTTTAAACTTGAATCACCACTATTAGTTAAAAGCCATGTGTAATAAAAGGCTCAAACTTACAAGAAGATAAATATGGTTCTACAGCATTTATGGTGAAGTTTCCGGACGTTTCATTATTGATGAACTCATCACAATAAAAGTAGGTTAAAACCAAGAGTTACCATATTTATGGCCTAGCTTATCTACATTCTTCATGATTCTTGGCCAACAGATAATGCAATAAAAACACTGAGGGTTTTGCATTACATTACAAAGAGTCCCTGACTTACGACCACTGTTGAGCCCAATATTTCTGTTGCTAAGTGAAACATTTTAAGTGAATTTTGCCCCATTTTACAACCTTCCTTGCCACCATTGTTAAGTGAATCACTGCAGTTGTTCAGTTAGTAACACAGTTGCTAAGTGAACCTCGCTTCCCCATTGACTTTGTTTGTCAAAAGGCGGTCGCAAAAGGGGATCACATGACCCCCCCCCGGGACATCGCAAATATGAGTCAGTTGCCAAGCATCCATATTTTAATCACGTGACCATGGGAATGCTGCAATTGTTGTAAGCATGAAAAATGGTCATAAGTCACTTTTTTCACTGGCATTTTAACTTTGAAGGGTCACTAGATGAACTATTATAAGTCAAGGACTACCTGTACTTTGTCTTCTCAATAGCAATACATTTAATTGCATCTGGAAGTCTCCTTCCACCAGCTGTATAGACATATTGGTGAATTAAATTCTTTCTTTCCCTCAACAGTACCTCAGTGAATCTTCATTCAATTCCTAATATAAAATAACGGCTTGATATATGGCCCCAAACTACACCATTGTTTCTGCACTTTTGTAGCCATATATTAGAATTTAGCCACAGAAAAGCTCATTCTTGCCAACGAAAACAAGCAAGGAAAAAGGAGTCAGGAGAAGAAATGAAGTTTATGGTTATACAAACAATTTACAGGCCTACAGTTAAATCTGAACATGCTAAAACATTTCATGTAATAAACTTCAAATTCCCTGTTTGTTTTACTGTTCAAGTTAAAGCGAATAACCTATTATAAATAAGAAAATTAATAACTCAAAAGATCTTCAGAAGCACGTTCAATAATATTTTCTAGACAGAAAAAGCACATTGTTTTTCAAATGTCATTAATCTTAATCAACTTTAATATTCTTCTTTTTTCTTCATCAATTACTGCCCATGTTTAAAACATAATTCAACAAATACTGTTCTGCGATTAAAGGTTTGTCTACTTTGGTTTTTCTCTTAAAAATAAATAGGACAGAGAGAGTAAAGAAAAGGTATTCCTCAACCTTTTACAGGCATGACACCTTAACTGTGACTAAGTATAATTCCAGTTAGCTAACCTGTTTATGCCAGACCATGAAACAACTCCCTCTGACTCATTTAAACTCCAGATGTAATAGTCAGCTGCGGATACCTTAACTTTTAACATTTACATAAAAGTTAACAGAGCATCAGAGAGAACAAAACCACCTCTCTACATTATTGAACAAATGATATAATTTGTTCAGTGTTTTTAGCAATCTATTTAAGAATCGCCCTGAAATGTATAAAGTTCACCAGACATTTAAATAGCAATAGCATTTAGATTTATATATTGCTACATAGTGCTTTACAGCTCTTTCTAAGCGGTTTACAATGTCAGCATACTGCTCCCAACAATCTGGGTCCTCATTTTACCAACCGCAGAAGGATGGAAGGTCAACCTTTATTTAATAAATAAATTTAATAAATAAATAAATAAATAAAATAAATAAACCTTGAGCTGGTCAGGATCGAAGGAATCGAACTCCTGGCAAGGTGGACAGAGTTAGCCTGCAATACTGCATTCTAGCCACTGCACCACCACTGCTCTTAAATGAAACACACACAACAGCTGGCATGGTTTAAACAGATCTTCATACATATGAAAGTTTAGATCTATGCCAAAATACAAATTATATTAAGTATTAATTAGAATGGGAGTTAGTTTAGATACTAAAACAGTATCTAAACCATGGATATCCAACTTTTTGGTTTGCCTGGGTCACACTGAGTGAAGAGGAATTCTCTTTGGTCATATATAAACAAAGGAAAAACAAATATCCTTTCTTTTTAAACATTTTTTACGTTCTTCTGGGGTCGCATTACTAGCTATCCAGGGCCAGACATGGCCTGCAGGCCATGGATTGGACACACCTGATCTGAACTGTGTTTAGTATCAATAGCTAAAAACAGGAGACAAACTGCTTTTCTCTTTTCATCAGTTAAGAGAAGGCAAGCAGGCAAGTATCAATACCTGAGAAAGACAATCCAAAAGCTTAGGGAATAATAGTTTTGTGCCTATGTCACTTCCTTCAATAAAGTTAAGAGACCATCTTTTTATGAGCACTAGAAACTAGCTATCAACAAAAGGAATTCACTGACTGAGATATCTTACATACAATATTTTTATCTCGAACATTAGTTCTTAAAGAACATTAAAGAATAATAGAACATTCTATATTTACTTTGGTTATCATCACCAAACTGGAGTTATGTTCAGAAGCAAGAATGTATAAGAACTCTGTGAGATTAATATGTATTTTCCAACTATGCTCCAGCTTTACCTGGACATCCCGATACATGTAATGTTTAAGTTATTTCTTTGAAAACATCTACAGGATGCAAGAGGTTTTTTAATAACCAAAGTCGACTTA